AAGAGTGCATGAGGCAGCCACAGAGCATCTAGACCCTCACATGTGAAAAAGGGACAGGTTTACAGGAAGAAGCTTCTTAGAAATGCATTCTTCAATCAATGAGGCCAGTCTAAGTTCAGTAGCTATGTGGGTAAGGATTTGAATATACCTATACCTCAGAGATGGGCTTTTCTTCCCAGGAAAACTTTGTCTGGGAGGAAGAATCAGATACCTTCAAAGTGAGTCTGATGCATGTGCTAACATTTGCTCTAAAGTAAACTGCATCTCTCTCAGTTCTGTACACCATAGCCTAACTTAGAAATAGGCAGGCTGGCTTAGCCACTTCCCACCTGCCTTAAAGGTGGGTATTGTCTTTGGCTGCTAGTGGTGAGGGTTGGAGGTAGGTCTTGAAGAAGAACAGGGGTAAAGACTCACATTGCTGACTCAGTAGTGTGTGACTTTGTATATTCCTTGGTTAAGCATCTTTGGAGAAAGCCTAAAGGTGGAGGTAGAGGTAAAGAAGTAGAAGATATAGGGTTCCCTATGTCTCTGCTTTCAGGAAATTCACAGAATCATTGTTTGTTTGTTTGTTTTAACTGTAAAACCTGTTAAAAGATAATTACAAAAAGATGGGCTCAGGACTTCCCTGGTGGTCCAGTGGTTAAGAATCTGCCTGCCAATCCAGGGAACTCAGGTTTAATCCCTGGTCTGGGAAGATCCCACATGCTGCAGGGCAACTAATCCCATGTGCCACAACTACTGAAACCCACACACTCTACAACCTGTACCCTACAACAAGAGAAGCATGCTGCAATGAGAAGACAGAGCCCCATAACTAGAGAGTAGCCCCGCTCGCCACAACTAGAGAAAACCCACACACAACAACAAAGACTCAGTACAGCCTAAAGAAACAAATAAAATTAATTTTTAAAAAAGATGGGCTCAAATTATAGAGTGAGGGAATAAGAGGCAGCAAATTGTAGTTGTGGAGAGTGTTCTAGCAATAGAGGAAAATGAAAAATAAAATGTCTGAATTGCCAGAGGGATGAAAAAAAAAAAAAACAGCAAAAGGGCAATGTTGAAAGGAAACAAGCAAAAAATAAAGCCTAAGAAACAAAACATAACAAGATGACAAAAATAAAAATATAGCACTTAAGGTTAACAAGATGACAAAAATGCAGATGTATTACTTATGACAGAAAAATGGACAGATAAGCCTTCCCTGCTAACACAAGTGTTAATTAGCCTCCCACATAAAATCCTTGATCCAGTCACTATAGGGCTGTGTTCATTCCCCCTGAGTAGAAACAGAGTAGAAGCCAAGGACTGCTTGGATTACTGCTGGGACTCCAGTGGCCCTGTTCTCCCTTCCTCCCAGCTTGGACGTCTGTCCCCTTGTAACATTGCTCCCAGCCACAGTTTGGAACTCTCATGGGGCTCAAGTTCTCGGAGAACAAAGCCAATATAGGAGGAGGTCTAGAGTTGTTCTTCTAGGCTCAAAGATAGCTTATGATGATACTCTGAAGTGATCTTCTTGTTCTTTTAGAATGCACTCCATCAGCCACCAAGACTTGGTATCATCAACAAGTGATACCCAGAAGTGAAGGTTTCTGTGCCAATATTGGTGGAGACAGTGGCAGTGGTGGAGAAGGAGGTGGTGATGGAGAAAGTGGTGGAGAAGGTGGCAGTGATGGGGGCAGTGAAGGAGATGAAGGTTTCTGCACTGGTAAAGCAGATGGCATTTATAGTGATCCTGAAGATAACACCAAGTTCTACCAGTGTGCAGGAGGCAGGACCTTCTACTTCCAGTGTAACCAAGGCCTGGTGTTCGACCAAACCTGCTCATGTTGTAACTGGCCTTCAATTTAAAATGTTGGAAAAACTCTACTTTGTTTCAGATTTTCTCGTGCTGCATGTCAAATTCCATCTTCCAATACTCCATGTTGTCTACATATTATATCAGTCTATCTGTCAATTTTGAAGCCCTACCTTACTAAGACAGCATTATGATTAGGTTTTACTCCATTATAACCTAAAAAACTATAAACACCTTGAACCAAATCCATATGTAAAATAAATATGACGCTGCATGTTTTATTTTTTTATAATCGTCTGTATTTTTTCTTACGTACTTGTAGATATAGCTCAGCATTTCAAGTGACCCTGAAGGTTAATAGAAACTATTTTTACTGAAGCTAAAATTTTACTTTTTATCAAATCAGACTACTGTTTTAGAAAGGGGAGTTTCCTTCCCTGGCAAAAGCCTTGAGAGTGTGAATCAAACAACGGTGTGAAAAAGTTCTCTTATTCCAAAGAAGGTGTCAACACCTCCAAAGAAGGGGCCCAAGACCCTGTGTCAGAAAAATAATAAATGTTAAATTACCACCTCTGAAAAAAGCTGCATGTGTATGGTTCCAAAGGAGAAAAGAAAGGGATGTGTGTGAGAGAGGTGAGAAAGGTTAATCTTGACTAATTTCAAGTCATAAAAATGCTTTTAATATGATAATAAAAATCTTTAAATCATCAGATTAAATGGAGTAAATGTTTTTAGACTGAGGTATCTAGCATTATCTTAATATTTTAAGTTGATTTCCAGTGAACTTTCACTATTTTCTTCAGAGGATCTTGTCCCCTAAAGAATTAGGCCTCTCACGTTCCTGATTTTTATCCTTTACAATAAATCTGGCATTTATATGGCAAAAAAAAAAAAAAAAAAAGAATTAGGCCTCTCAGAGGCATAATTTAGTAGATTTCACCTTCCAGTGCCTCGTTCACCAGCTAACACTTACCATGGGATGGCCTTGAAGAGTACAGCAGGCTATAGTTTTTTGAGGCACTAGCAGCATCTCACTCTTTGTTATCCAGACATATGAAGTCTTGCCATCAGGTTAAGTAGGGGACTACCCTGGTAATCTGGTGGTTAAGAATCCACCTTGCAATGCAGAGCACACAGGTTCGATCCCTGGGAGAGGAACTAACATCCATGTGAGTAACTCACATGTTATCCTGTGAGTAACATGCTGTGAGTAATTAAGCCTGTGTGCTGCAAATACTGAGCCTGCATACTCTGGAGGCCATGTGCCACAACTAGAGAGGCCAAGTTCCACAACTACTGAAACCTACATTCTCTGGAGCCCACACGCTGCAACTACTGAGCCCACATGCCACAATTAGAGAGTCCATGCACCGCCAAGAAAGATCCTGCATGACACAATGAAGACTCTCTGTGCCACAACTAGGACCCAACACAGCCAAATAAATGAATAAATAAGAAGGCTATGTAGGCATAGAAGGACCTTCCCAACACAAGCAGCTAGAATACACTTAATGTCCATTCTGAAGAAACCACCCTTGAGTTATTAAGGTTTGTGTTGGAAATAAAAGGCCTGTCTTCCAGGCAATGTCTGGGCTTCCCAGGTGGCTCAGTGGTAAAGAATCCACCTGCCAACATAGGAGATGCAGTTTCGATCCCTGGATGGGGAAGGTCACCTGGAGAAGGAAATGGCAACCCATTCCAGTATTCTTGCCTGGAAAATTCCATGGACAGAGGATCCCCGTGGGCTACAGTCCATGAGACCACAAAGAGTGGGAGCACAACTGAGCAAATGAACACACACCAGGCAACGTCTAGATAAGTACTTTGAACGTGGCTCTCATGACCTCTGACCTTGGCACACCTAGAGCAACTTGTGAGGCTTTAGGGCATCATTCAAACTGGAAGTTGGAGGCAGATCCAATCTACTAGCCTCCTTGGGAAGTCCTTCTCATATTTCAGTCCAGGGCCATGGAGCCTGATGAGTCTATTCTGATTCCTACTGCATCCCCAGTGCTTGCCACTCTGCCTGATGCATGTTTGGAATTCAGTATGATGATTGACAGACTAAATAGACGATGCAATAGGAAAGGAGGGTGGATTATTGGTTCTTTGAGTTTTATGTGAACCTGAGTTCAGTTCAGTTCAGTCGCTCAGTCGTGTCTGACTCTTTGTGACCCCATGAACTGCAGCACACCAGGCCTCCCTGTCCATCACCAATTCCCGGAGCCCACCCAAACCCATGTCCATCAAGTCGGTGATGCCATCCAACCATCTCATCCTCTGTCATCCCTTTCTCCTCCTGCCCTCAATCTTTCCCAGCATCAGGACCTGAGAAAGGCAATCAAATCAACAATCCACTCCAGTATTCTTGCCTGGAAAATCCCATGGACAGAGAAGCCTGGCTGGCTATAGTCCACAGAGTCACAAAGGGTCGGACTTGACTCAGCACAGCACAGAGAAAGGCAATCAAATCAGGACCTTCCCACTCCATGCTGGGAAACTCGGACACTTTGAAGCACTCCTGAAACATTTACTCTGCCTTTAAGTGTCCTCTGCATCCAAAAAGCCCCAAAACAAGACCCAGCAAGCCATCCAAAGCCTTGACATGTACAGAACAATAAATAGTCTCCTCTCACCAGGGCTAGTGGTGTGGTAGTTTAGTTGCTAAGTGTCCGACTCTTGCAACCCCATGGACTGTAGCATGTCAGGCTCCAGTTTCCAGGGGATATCCCAGGCAAGAATACTAGAGTGGGTTGCCATTTCCTTCTCCAGAGGAGAGGATCTCCCAACTCAGGGACTGAACCCATAACTCCTGCATCACAAGCAGATTCTTCACTGATGTGCCACCAGGGAAGCCCTGGGCTAGTGGTAGAAAACATAAAACTTGGGGCTGGGAATTAGAGGGCGAGGACCCACAAGTATAATATTTCAGTCGAGTGAAGCCATCTCGCTGAGCACTCAGTAGGAACTCCTCTAACCCTTCTACATGAATACACAACGAACCAGCACAAGGAGAAAGAGCATTCTAAACTAGTCTTTACACAGTCATGTAGTATTTATGAGGCCCTTGCCCCTCCCTGTGCCCCATGCTGGCAGGCAGGAAGGTCAGAGCAATGCAGAAGGACAAGAGCACCTCTGTGCTCTGTATTGTTCTGTCCTGGAGAATTTGTGGTCAGGAGGAGCACATGAAGGGAGTCACAGCTTCTCAGTCGTAGTACAGGCTTAGGTAGGCCAGACGGTTCCGATGCTTTCTAAAGTCTTTGTCTGTGGGCAGCTGCAATGAAAGAATATTATCTAGGTCAATTTTCAAATGAGAACCCACTGCCTCTGGGCTTCCTGGCTGTGCGAAATAGGCATGTATGTTATACCTGTTGTGGCCTGGCTGAACCTCAACCCCATAGTAACCTAGCCTCACTGAGTCTCTCAGCATTGCTCTGTACATCTACTTTGTCATCTTACTCTGGAAATGTCATACTAGGAATTATTTTCTACTTGGTAAATTGTCAAGTATAGCTGGTAGGACTTCCCTGGTAGTAGAGTGGATAAGAATCCATCTGCCAATGCAGGGGACATGGGTTCCATCCCTAGTCTAGCGAGATTCTAAATGACATGAGCATCTAAGCCCGTGTACAACGACTATTGAGCCCACACCCTACAGCCCACAAGTCACAACTACTGAGCCCATGTGCTGCAACTTCTGTAGCCTGCGTGTCTAGAGTTTGTGCTCTGCAACGAGAGAAGCCATTGCATTAAGAAGCTAGAGCACTGCAAGAAGAGTAACCCCTGCTTGCCACAACTAAAGAAAGCCTGCCCATGCGCAGCAACGAAAATCTAGCGCAATGAAAAATAAATAAATAATTAATTATTTTAAAAGTATAGCTGGTAAACATCTTGAAAAGAAAAATTATATGTTTAATTCTTGAATGTTACCCATAGGCCCTAGCATAATGATGTTAATACATTTGGCATTTCATACATACTTGCAGAATTAATCCCAAGCCCCACTGGAGAATAAAGGGCCCCTCTGGAATTATGATAGCGGACATGGACTGAGCATTTATTACGCTACAAGTATGGCACCAATACTTTTCTACAATATCTCAATTTTTAAAGCTTTATCAGATAAAAGTCTATTATTATATGCATTTTAAAACTAAGCACACTGATGCTTAGAAAAGTAAGATTATTAGACAAAATCACACAGCAAGCAAATATGGAACTAGAATTTGAACCCAGGCAGTCTGTTCCTAAAATCCATGTTCTTGGCAGAATGATCCACAGCTCTTGATGATCTAATAGTAAGTGGTGTGATGGGAAGAGCCATGGCTTAGGAGTCACCAGATCTAGGCTCTATCTGAGCAACTTCAGCAAGCCACTTAATCCATCTGAGCCTCAGTTTCCTCCTCAATCACAGAGGATAATTATTTTGGACTAACCACAGAAGATTATTTGAGGACTAAATAAAATGTGACTTCTGTTCCATCACACTCACCTTTAAAAATCTAGTGAAATTGGGTAACTCTCCAAAAAAATTCCCATATGTATATACACAAAATTGTGCTTGTAATTTCAGGGGAACAAGGACTTAACTGAAGCTTGTTCACAGACTCCTGGTTAAGAATCACTGATACACATGGAAGTATTAGGTAAAGGACTCCAGAGAAGTCCAATCCTATTACCTCAGCTCTCAGGGTTCTTTTCTGTAGACATGGAACCTGAGCCCAGTCTGGAGATCCAAATTTCATTGGCCATCTGACTCTCTTGGGTGGCTTTATCTCTGGGTTGTATGTGGTAGGGCTAGAAATAAAAATACAGAACATCATCTGTAATGAGTTAGCAATCATATGTAACCTTCCACCCCTGATCTAGAGTCCTAACCCTTTGGGAAAAAGCAGTCTACTGATTCACATAGGATTCCTTTGCCTGCTCAAGTATTTCTAATTAGGTTTCAGTGTTCAAGGTATCTAGTCTTGACAAAGTAAAAAATCAACTCCAGTTTAAAATATTTCTGGAAGTTCAGTCTCCTTATCTGAGAGATCAAAAGATCCCAGAAATGGTGGGTGATAAAAGAAAGTTAACACAGTGATGCATAAGTTCTGCTCATGATGTAAAACTAAGGAGGAAAGAAAAGTGCTAATTTAAAGTATCAATGATCTGGGGTCAGTAAAGTAGAACCATGTAAAATTCCTTGACAATGGGATTATTTAATTATATAGCCTTTGTTCATAACATTCTTTTGGTATCAACTCTTTGCTATGGAAATAACATGTAAAGTGGACATAAGAATCAAGATTCAACATCTCTATTCCTTACTACAACCTTGAAAAAGTTACACTCACTCTCTGATCTTTGAAACTCTCAAAAGTAAAAAAAGACCTTGACCCCATGCCCTACCATTCCACACATTCTCAACAGCTTCCTAAAGCACTGAGACCACCTCCCTTGGTCTACTGGCCTATGTACTATAGCCACCAACACCTCCACCTTCCCCACCCCATTCTCACTTCCTCCTTGCCCACAATACTGTAGCCACACTAGCTTTCTTTTTTTTTTTTCTGTACACCAATTTCCTTCCCAACAACAGCCTTTGTACTTGAAGTTCCTTCTGCCTGGGAAACTCTGGGCCTACATTTTCACAGGGCCAGCTCATTCTTGTCATAATGGTTTCAGATCAAGTGTCATTTCCCTAAAAGATCTATCTTGATAATCCTTGCTAAAGTATATAGATTCTAGCCCACCATTCTGTATCATATCATCATCTTCTTTGGTTTCATTCAGCACACCACCAGGTCACCTTACTTCCTAGCGTGTCTATGACAGCCCCAGCTAATGGCTACTGTCTTGGTATAATTATTAATAAGACCCCATTTCAAGTCTCAGAAGTGTCATGTGCTGACTAATAAATTATATAGTCACTCTCTTTATTACTATTGATATTTTCTTATTTGCTTCTCATCTGTCTGGACTCTAGAATGTAAGCTCCAAGAAATGAGGAATCTTGCATGATGGGTTTAAAGCAAAATCTTTGGAACCCACAAAACTGCTTGGCCTTTTATAAATATTTATTGAGTGAACCCCTATACTCTACCACTCTATAATTTCTAGAGACCTAGAAGGCAAAAGGTTGAATCTTTAAAGCTAGATGGTTTCTTATTTAGACAGCATGGTTGGGATGAAACCCCTTTTTGTACTTTCTTTCCTATTGCTCTTTGTTGAAGTGCAGCAGAAAAAGGGGCACATACCCAGGATAATAAGAGTCCTTTGAGTAAGTCCGAAAGCGAGGCAACAAGACATTAAATGGAGCAAAATTTGGTTTGTGTGTTTGCTCTCGAACATTGACTATCTGGTACATGCCTGGGTAAGGTGTCACATCCTGTTTCCAAGAAAAAGATCAATATGTTAGAGGGTGATATATACATGTAAAGACTTTTAATTAGAAAAAACAAAATTATCCTCTCCCTGTTCATGTATCAGCTATGGTTTAACTACCTCAATCTATAGAAATGGCCTACAGTAGGTAGAAAACCAAGATAAGTGTATGGTTCAGCTACGTAAAGGTACCAAAGGCTTAGGCTGTAGAAACAAACCTATGAAGGTAGAGAGCCATGGTAACCTATTACAGTTACTACCCCCACCATCCCACCATCCCACTCAGATTCTTTTGGAGCCAGTATCCCTCTCCCTGAGCTTAAGTGTCATGAAAAAGTCCAACAGGAGATTAATAGATGATAATTAAGACTATAAATCCAGTTATACAAAAGAATGAAGAAGTTGGACTTGTTTTTTTAACTGATAAGATATTATACTACATATTACATATAATTATATGATGCATATAAACAAAGCTTCTAGTATTTTACAAGCAAGTGTCTCAGGACTAAAACCTTGCTTTGGTATTATTACTTCTTAGAGCTATTTTCCACTCTGCCAGGACACACACACACATTTGCCATGTTAACATCCATGCTTTTAAGATAGGTTTTTTAGTAGCTTTTGCCCAAAAAACATTTTTGTCTTGAATTTTGGGCATATTCTTTAGGTAGCCTCCAGCTATGCTCCCCAATGCAAGTACATTCAGCAACATGGATCACAGTGAAATCTAAGCACATTCAGCCATGTCTAACCTTGCTAACTGGCTTAAATCTCATGGCTGTTCTGGCGCCAAGAGTGTATCCTTTTTTACTGGTCGGGATCTTAGAGAGGTTGTATGCAAAGCCATACTTCTTCAGGTGTTATGTAGAAAACAAACAAAGAAAAAACACATATAGAGAACATTATAGTTATTAAAACAGTCTGAACTTAAAGTATTTCTGAATCTTCTCTGCCAAAGTTACTCTTTCTTTCTTGATTCTTCTGAATCATGACCATACAATTACATAAGTAACACAAACAGTTGCATTCCTATAAAGGAATGTGGCTAGATAGGTAGAGTGAATGCCATTTCTATGCATTCCAGTGAATCCAGTTTTCTGGGTCCCACAGAGCTGAATCTGCTCTAATTCAACTATCAGTATGATTATACAATTTCATCAACTACCTATCAGCACAGCCACAGTCCAGGTTTGGACTAAGGAGATACTGAGTCACTGGTCTTTGTGACTGTGAATAGTGAAGGAACAATACTGGGAACTGCATGAGGCCAAGGCTTGCATTTGGTGGGGATGGCAAAGGGGAACAGTGGCCCTTTACTTTCTGATTGTAGAGGACCAGGGCACTTTCTCATGTTGGGACCCTGATGGTCACAAATCCCATAGGGGTTTTCTTTGGGAAAACTTGGGTTTCCTTAGATAATAGTCTGGGAACTGACACCCATCGAAGGGAAGGTGAATACTCACATCTTCTGCTATGTAACATCCAGGCCCTCTGTTGGGAGCTCCTCTAATAGGGGGGAATTTGTTTCCCAACAAGTTTGGAGGATGGAAGTGAGGAAAGATCTTCCTATGTTGACATGTTCCAAAGGAGTAGTTAAGCAGCGGCTCTGCAGATAGGGAAAGAAGAGAAACTTCACATGAGGAAAGGCCCTTTGGTCTAAGTGAGAGCTTCAGGGCGAGTAGGGGGTGGGCTGTGGGACAGAGCTCTTCAGGGCAGACCCTTAAGAAAAGTCCATGTAAAGGGTAGCTCAAATCTATGTAAAGGGATGAACTGCATTTCCCCCTCCCTTTGCCCTTCTTCCTTCCCAGCCTTCCTACTCTTCCTCCTGTCTCTCCCGTAGACTCCCCTACTACAGCCCTCCTCACCTGCTTTAAGGAAGCACATCTCAGGAGCGCCACCAGGCCCAGAGTTTGTGTACTGCGTTGCCCAAGAAACAGAGGCGGGGCCGGGCAGCCGCAGCCGCCCAGCTCCCAGAGGGGAGTGGCTCTGAGCTAGCCTACTCAGCAGAGGGGATTCCTGCGGAGCCCGCTTAGGGGCAGGAACTACACCTCCCAGGCCAGGAACCCAGGGGAGTGAGAACTCTGAAGCTGAGCAGGAGGTAGGGGGTTTGCTGGATCGAAGTTTTAGGCTGAAGAGCTTTGAAAGCTGGGCCATTGGAAATGCACTACTGAGGAAGGATGGACTCCTCCACGTGCAGGATACCCTGAAATCCAGGCTACTAGCATCTGGAATGTAGAAAAACACAGCCTCTGCAGTGATGATCTATAGAGGTGGGCTTCCTGGGCAATGCCCAGAAGAGGGGAGTTGGGAAACTACTGGAGCCTAGATAGTTCTGTGTTAGGCCTGTTTTAGACCCATTTTTCCTTTTCTTCAAGGCATTCCCATCAGGTTACCCCTTTATACCCTTAAGAGGGACTCAAGTCTCTAAAAGATCTGGAATCCTGAAGCAGAACAGTAAGAGAACGATGGAATAAAAGAAGTGCTTAAATTGGGAGGCAGTCACTTAAATGTTTAGGTCCCAGGTTCCTCATCTCTAAATTAGGAACAAGAATTCCTTCTTATAGGGTTGTTGAGAAGGTTAAGAAAACAGGATTAAAGAGGGTCATTGCCTAGTGCTTGGTAGGTCACAATAGGAGAGATTTTTATTACTCCAACAGTATCTAGCCAGCTTAGGAGTACTCCCACCCTAACCTAAGAAGAAATATCAGGGTGTATGATGACTTTTTTACCTTTGTCCTAGATGTTAACCCTAACTTGTTCTCACTTGATTTTAGGATAACTTTCAGAGTTGTCAGAAAGCACAGTGTGATTGGTATGTTCTGTCCTTGGCTTCTAAGAATGGTCTTGGGATCCACACATAACCAGGGTTAGCACTGTGTACAGGCATGATTTTATAGCTCTAATGTAGGATTCCAAGAGAATTGATCCTGAGTCCTAGAGGATATTTTGGAAACTTAGAGAAATCTTTTGGGCTTCTCAGGTGATACTAGTGGTAAAGACCCCGCCTGCCAATGCAGGAGACGCAAGAGACCTGGCTTCAATCCCTGGGTTGGGAAGATCCCCTGGAGGAGGGCATGGCAGCCCACTCCAGTATTCTTGCCTAGAGAATGCCATGGACAGAGGAGCCTGGTGGACTACAGTCCATTGAGGTTGCAAAGAGTCAGACATGATGGAAATGACAGCACAGAAGCCTTTTCCTTGCTAAACATTATTGAGGTGATGCTCCTGGTCAATGGACCAGGAGGGCTGGATACCTGTAGTTCATTGTGCAATTGCACAGTGAATTGTGTTAAGTCCTATATAACACTCCAATGTCTTCCTGATCTCTATGAAAAAAATAATTACATTTCACATATATACAAAAAAGACAGTTTTTTTTTTTAAGAAGTAATGCAGAAAGCCCAATAATATAGGAGAAGGTCTTAAAAGAAACAAAACTGGAATAACGATATGGTCTCAACATTGTTGAACAATTTGCTTCAAGTCTCCTTTCTACTCAAAATATAATTGCAGTAACAATGATAGTAAACAAAATGTAAACAGAAATAGTATTAATTTGATTATTTTCACTGTCTTTAGGAATATTAATATTTGTAGTACCCACAGTGTTTTTTGGAAATTAGTGTTTACATTATTAGTAACATGAAACAGTTCTCACAAAGTACTTTGAAATTATAACATATTCTTCATTGGTAGGTTGGTTTGCTTCAGACTAATTTTCCAGCTAAGAAGAGATAGAAATATCATATAAAACATACATATTTCAGGATATCAGAGATATAGCAAAGAAAAAAGAATCTAAAGGTCCAAGACTCTGGAGAGAGGGCAGCCCAAAGTAGTGAACCCAACAGTTGGTGCTGTTGTTCCCTTTGAACATTCCCTAATTAAAAATCTCACTGAGAAGCAGAGAATTTGAGCAAAACTGTGATCAGACAGTCTCTACAAAAGGGGAGCAAAAGTTAGGCTGACCATGGAAGAGGAGAGACTGGAAAACACCCTGGATTTTTAGTTAGGAGTCTAAAGAGATACAACTCAGCTATAAAAGTAAATAGATTCATGTCAATGTATGACAAAAACCACTACAATATTGTAAAGTAATTAACCTTCAACTAATAAAAATAAATGAAAAAAAAATAGAGCAGTTCTCAAAAAAAAAAAAAAATCCTGAAATTCAGTTTTGTATCAACTCTAGTCCCCAGCTCCATTAAGATAATCTATTTTTACCCTTATTGCATACCTAAAACAAAAGTAAATCATCTTGCACAATAGCATTATTTGAGCCCCAAATAATTTGTATAATTTTTAAGCAAAATGCTCAGCATTCAATATAAAGCAACCTCTCATACCAAAACAAAACAAAACAAAACACCTAGGTAGACATAAACCCAAAAGAAATCCAGAAATTGGAGTATCAAGAGTGGACTTTAGCTGTACTTGGCTTCAGGTTTTACAAGAAGGCTGAAGACTGTAGCATGAAGATAGGAAGCAAAAAAAAAAAAAAAAGCAAGGAAATTTGTGATCATGAAGCAGATTCTTGGCTTCTGAGGTAAGAGGCTAAAATAAAAATATAGATTACACTCTAAAAACAAAGTCAATAAAGACTACAGTGTACTTAGGGAAAGAGAAAATTTCCCCCACCAATCTTTATGTTTATGTTACTAATATAACACACAAAGAGTGTCCACATACATCCAGATTGATGCAAATTTATCAACTTTTCATTAAAGCCAATCCAGACATAGTACAAAGATAGACTGTATTTTATCTATATTTCCTGTATTACTAATTGTGTAATGGTAAAATTGAGAAGTTAAACAGAATTTCAGGTAGCTCTAAAGATTGTCAAGAATTATTGAATCTTTAAATGATGGATTTTTTGAATGATGATCATGTGTAAATGAAAATTTGCAGGTGACTGCTTGGAACAGAATAATAGACAAAATTTTATATGTAGCCACTTTTGATGAAGACTTTTTAGAGAATTCAGCAGGTCCTGTCATGTACATTTCTATGACGATAGCATCAAGGGATGCCTGATGCTTATGGAGACTGTTATAGATCTATGAGTTAGTTATCTGCTTTCCTCATTTGACTATGTATGAGGCCATTGTATTAATAAGAATTACAATTTTAGGAAACCACCTCCTCTGTTGAAGTGGTTTAATTGAATGGGGATAAGTAATTCAACATTTGTATAATGCTTTAAATATATTTTTTCTCATTTTAAAACATATTGGATTTAATGGTATTATATCAAATCAGCAAACGGTAAAAATGATCATTGTATTTAAGAAACTAAACAAAAAGATGGAGAATTTTAGAAACAGTAAGAAAAAAGCAAATAAAAATTGTAGAAATAAAAAGTGCCATCACCAAAAGTAAGAACTGAATGCATGGGGAACAGAAGATTATAAAAGTTATAAAAGTTAAAAAAAAATTAATAAAATGAAAAATGAATCAGAAGAATTCGGTCTGTATACAGACCGAAGCTTGAGGAGGCAAGGATAGAAAATACAGAGGCAGGGGAGAAACAGTGAAAAGTTCTAACACACATGTATTTGAAGTTCCACAGGGAACTTCAGTGAGAGAGAGAAAGAGAATGTTGCAGACGCTAGAGTTGAAGAGATAATGGCTGAGAATATTTCAGAACTGATGAAAAATATTTAACCAGAATTTAACAAATGCAAGTCTAAAGCAAGATAAATACAAAGAAAATTTCATTTGGTCGTACCATAGTGAAACGTATGAAAAATAGAGAAAAATTTGAGATTGGCTAGATCGGAGAAGGCAATGGCACCCCACTCCAGTACCCTTGCCTAGAAAATCCCATGGACAGAGGAGCCTGGTGGGATGCAGTCCACAGGGTCGCTACGAGTCAGACTCGACTGAACGACTTCACTTTCACAAATTGAAGAAGGAAATGGAAACCCACTCCAGTGTTGCCTGGAGAATCCCAGGGACGGGGGAGCCTGGTGGGCTGCCGTCTATGGGGTCACACAGAGTCGGACACGACTGAAGCAACTTAGCAGCAGCAGCAGATAGAAAAGGTAGATTACTTTTTTTTGAGTATAAACAATTTTATTTTTATTTATTTATTTATTTTTCTTTTCATTTATTTTTATTAGTTGGAGGCTAATTACTTCACAACATTTCAGTGGATTCATGTCAAGGTATGAGAAAAGGTAGATTACTTTTAAAGAAGCAACAATAAGTCTGGAGGATGAATTCTTAAGAGAAACAAGAGAAACTAGGAAACAATGGAATAGTATCTTTAAGTGCTAAATAAATAACAGTAAAAAGGTTGGAAAGCATATTCCATATGAAGACTAACAAAAACAAAGTTAATGTATGTGTACCAAGGATATGAGGGACATACAAAAACTGAGCAAATACTTCAGACTGAGGTATACTGATGAACACAATGTAATACAACATTTAATCCTGGATAAGATCCTGTATGAGATAGGAAAGGTACATTGTTGGGACAACCAATTTGAATAGGGCGTGTGGATTTAAGAATAGTGTATCAATCTGATTTTCAAATTGAAAGAGCTGTTCTGAGCATGATTTATGAGAATCTCAGGGAGGGTAACAGTGGAGCTTTTAGAGGGGATGGGGAATCATTTCAGAAAAAAGATATATATATATGGAAAGAAATAGAAGCAAAATTTAACAATTGAGGAATTTGGGTGAATGGGGCTGAGGGAATTCTTTGTACCATTTTGAAGCTTTTCTTTAGATTTGAAACTTTCAAAATAATTGTTAAAAATATGTATGTATAATTATGGGTGAGAAAGGAAGCCAAGATATGGGAGAAAATATAAGCAAGTGAAAGTGTTAGCCTCTCAGCTGTGTCTGACACTTTGCGACCCCGTGGACTCTAGCCCACCAGCTTACTGTCTATGGAATTCTCCAGGCAAGAAAACTGAAGTGGGTTGCCAATCTGCAATGTACAATAAATTATCCACTACCCATATGTAACTACTGAGCACTTGAAATGTGGTTAGTCCAAACTGAGATGTATGTAAGTATAAAATGCAAACTAGATTTTAAAAGCTTAGATTGAAAACAAAATGTGCAAACCATGATTTAAGTGTTATACTGGTTACATGTTGAAATGATAATAGTTATTTGGTTAAATAAATATATATACAAATAATAAATAAATAATATTTGGTTAAATAAACATATATTTAAGTTAACTTCATATTCTACTTTTTGCTTTTTTTAATGTAACTGTTAGAAAATTTAAACACATTGTTTGAATTGTATTTCCATTGGATAATGCTGATCTCTAGAAATAAAGCACTTACAGATCAATAGGGAAAAACAACCTAATTTTTTTTTAAATTGGTAAAATGCTTGAATGCACACTATAGACAAAAAGAATATCCAAATGACTAGTAAACATATTAAAAACTGCTCAATATCAACAGTCAAAAAGGAAATGCAAATTAAAACCACAATGACATACCCACCTAATGGCTAAAATTATAAAGATAGAGAAGAGTGCTAAGGATGTGAAATAGCTAGAAACTTTTAATGCACTTTTAGTATAAGTGTAAATTGATACATTCACTTTGAAAAAATAGTATTTACTGAAGCTGAACATAGACATCTCTATGATCTAATAATTTCTACATATCTGCTCAGCAGAAATGCTTACAGTTGTGTTCCAAAGACATTACAAGAACATTAAAAGCAACATTATTGATAATACTCCCCAAACTAGAACAACTAGAATGTCCATTAACATTACAATGGAAAAATACGTTGTGCTATACTCATGTAAATGAATACTATACAGGAATAAAAATGAATAAAATCCTGCACATTTAATAATGTAGATTAATCTCACAGAGTTGAATGAAATAATTCAGACATGAATATTTACACACTGTATGAGCAAATTTACATGATGTTCAAAAATAGGCAAAACTAATCTATATGTTAGAAGTCAGGATGGGGGTAGCTTTGTAAAGGAGAGTGGAAGGAATAACTAAAAGAGAACTTGAGGAACACTTGGAGTGAAAGCAATGTTCCATTTCTTTTTAAATTAAGGTATCAGTTCAGTTCAGTTCAGTCGCTCAGTCGAGTCCAACTCTTTGCCACCTCATGAACTGCAGCACGCCAGGCCTCCCTGTCCATCACCAACTGCCGGAGTCCACCCAAACCCATGTCCATCGAGTCGATGATGGCATACAGTCATCTCATCCTCCGTCGTCCCCTTCTCCTCCTGCCTTCAATCTTTCTCAACATCAGGGTCTTTTCCAGTGAGTCAGCTCTTCACATCAGGTGGCCAAAATATTGGAGTTTCAGCTTCCACATCAGTCCTTCCAATGAACACTCAGGACTGATCTCCTTTAGGATGGACTGGTAGGATCTCCTTACAGTCCAAGGGACTCTCAAGAGTCTTCTCCAACACCACAGTTCAAAAGCATCAATTTTTCAGCACTCAGCTTTCTTTATAGTCCAACTCTCACATCCACACATGACCACTGGAAAAACCATAAACTTGACTAGATGGACCTTTGTTGGCAAAGCAATGTCTCAGTTTTTTAATATGCTGTCTAGGTTGGTCATAACTTTCCTTCCAAGGAGTAAGCATCTTAATTTCATGGCTGCAATCACTATCTGCAGTGATCTTGGAGCCCCCAAAAACAAAGGCAGCCACTGTTTCCACTGTTTCCCTTCTATCTGCCACGGGACTGGATGCCATGACCTTAGTTTTCTGAATGTTGAGCTTTAAGCCAACTTTTTCACTCTCCTCTTTCACTTTCATCAAGAGGCTTTTTAGTTCTTCTTCACTTTCTGCCACTAGTCTGTTGTTCCATGTCCAGTTCTAACTGCTGCTTCCTGACCTGCATATAGGTTTCTCAAGAGGCAGGTCAGGTGGTCTGGTATTCCCATCTCTTTCAGAATTTTCCACAGTTTATTGTGATCCACATAGTCAAAGGCTTTGGCATAGTCAATAAAGCAGAAATAGATGTTTTTCTGGAACTCTCTTGCTTTTTCGATGATCCAGTGGATGTTGGCAGTTTGATCTCTAGTTCCTCTGCCTTTTCTGAAATCAGCTTGAACATCTGGAACTTCACAGTTCACATATTGCTGAAGCCTGACTTGGAGAATTTTAAGCATTACTTTACTAGCGTGTGAGATGAGAGCAGTTGTGTGGTAGTTTGAGCATTCTTTGGCATTGCCTTTCTTTGGGATTGGAATGAAAACTGACCTTTTCCAGTCTTGTGGCCACTGCTGAGTTTTTCGTATTTGCAGGCATATTGAGTGCAGCACTTTCACACTGTCATCTTTCAGGATTTGAAATAGCTCAACTGGCATTCCATCACCTCCACTAGCTTTGTTCATAGTGATGCTTTGTAAGGCCCACTTGACTTCACATCCCAGGATATCTGGCTCTAGGTGAGTGATCACACCATCATGATTATCTGGGTCATAATTGAGGTATAGTAGATTTATAATATTATATTGGTTTAATGTGTATAACATAAGATTCAAGGTTTTATCGATTATACTCCATTTATAGTTATTATAAAATGTTGACTTATTCCCTGTGCTGTATGACATATATTTGTATCTTATTTATTTTATACATAGTAATTTGTATCTCCCAATCCCCTACCCCTATTTTGCGCCTCCTCCTTCCCTCTCCCCACTAGTAACCACTAGTTTGTTCTCTGTATCTCAGTCTTTCTTTTTTTGTTATATTCATTATTTTATTTTATGTTTTAGATTCCACATCTAAGTGATATCATACAGTGATATCATACATTTGTCTTTCTCTATCCAACTTATTTCACTTAATACAATACCACCTCATCTCCATCCATGTTGTTGAAAATAGCAACATTTTGTTATTTTTCATGGCTGCATAGTATTGCTTCCATACCTTGACTATTGTAAATAATGCTGCTATGAACATTGGGGTGCATGTGCCTTTTCGAATTAGTATTTTTGTCTTCTTTGACTGTATACCCAGAAATGGACTTGCTGGATCATATGACAGCAAGTGACTAACCTAAAATTGGCATTTAACAAACATTAATGCATTTCAACCTACCACCCCCATGCCAGGGCTATATCTAACTCCAAGGGTACCTTTGTGCAAATTTGTTAATGGTGCCCCTTTATCTAGATGGGTCTCACCCCTAGTCAAGGTTCATGATTTGTTGAGTGGAGCACTGACCCCGTCCCCACTGGGATCAAGGTTCCTACCCCATTGCTTTCCAGTTAGACTCCAATACTGAAGGAATGAGTTTTCATATATGTGTTAGAGTTCAAGAATATGATTACCATGATCAAAGTCCCAAAGGAATGGCTGGGTGATCTGTAGCATAATGTTTTCCTTCAAGCTCCTGGATAAGCCAGATGGCGTGAACTTCAGAGAAGCTCTGGACCATAACTCTTCCTTATAGGGACTTTCAAAATTTCTGACTCTCTCATGTATTGACTCCATTAGTGACAACTTTTATAAATGGACTTTAACCAAGACTTTGGACAGTATAACTCAGACTGGCTGCTAAGCAACAGCCCCACCCTTAAAGTCACCTCTTCAAGTCATTGTGACAGTGCTTTCTACAAGGCAACATTATGGTGTAGAGGAAGCCAGAAAGGCCCAATTTTGAAAATAAACTCTGCCATTTATTATAACTTCATCATCTTGGACAAGTTTTCCCTCAATTTCTTCACCTGTAACACCAGGACGATATTCACCATACAGGAGATAACCTATATAAAGTACCCAGTCCAGTGCTTGACTTACTTAACTTGTTCACCATCTCCCTTCCTGCCCTCATTGATTTATTCATTCAATAGGTACTTACTAAACTCTTATAATATGCTCTAGGCATTGGGAATATAGCCATGATCAGAGGCTCATAGAGGTTAATCCTCATTGACCTTAATTCTAGCAGAGAAGGCAATAAAAATGATAAAATGCATGTGATATCAGGTATTGATAGGAAAAACAGAGGAATCAGAAGGAAGAAGCAAAAAGGGAGTTTCATGGCCAGGAATGGTGAAAGGTAGCTTCGAGGAAAGGCTTACAGGTAGTGAGGTAGAAAGTCAAATGGAAATCTCAGGAAAGAATATTTCAGTTTGTGCAAAAACCCTGAAGTAGTAACAAGCCTGGGCTATTGGAAACAGCACAGATATCAACATAGTTGAAGTAGAGGGAATAAGAATAATCAAAGGAGGTGAGATTAGAGTGGTCATGGATGCTGGATTCTGCCTGTCCTCTTCTTGCACATATTAGGTATACAGTAAACATTAATTTGAATGACTAATTAATATATAAATGTAGCACAAAAATAGGGGAGAAACCAATTTTTTAGGTTGTCATGATTTCTGCATTCTAGAAATGGTGACAGGATTAATCCTTGCAGGAAAATAGTGGCTGAAAAAGCATTAGTCTATGAAACCACTTTGATCTAGCCAGTAGCTGCTGTGTTGTTCAAAAATGCTTTTCCTCAAATTCAGCAGTATTTTTCATGCTCTTCATGAAAAAGGTCAGTTTTCATTCCAATCCCAAAGAAAGGCAATGCCAAAATATGTTCAAACTACCACACAATTGCACTCATCTCACACTCTGGCAAAGTAATTCTCAAAATTCTCCAAGCCAGGCTTCAATAGTATATGAACTGTGAACTTCCAGATGTTCAAGCTGGATTTAGAAAAGGCAGAGGAACCAGAGATCAAATTGCCAACATTCGTTGGATCATCAAAAAAGCAAGAGAGTTCCAGAAGAACATCTACTTCTGCTTTATTGATTACCCCAAAGCCTTTGACTATGTAGATCACAACAAACTGTGGAAAATTTTTAAAAAGATAGAAATACCAGACCACCTTACCTGCCTCCTGAGAAATCTGTATGCAGGCCAAGAAGCAACAGTTAGTACCAGACATGGAACAACAGATGAGTTCCAAATTGGGAAAGAAGTACATCAAGGCTGTATATTGTCACCCTGCTTATTTAACTTATATGCAGAGTACATCATGCGAAATGCCAGGCTGGATGAAGCACAAGCTGGAATCAAGATTGCCAGGAGAAATATCAACAACCTCAGATATGCAGATGACACCACCCTTATGGCAGAAAGTGAAGAAGAACTAAAGAGCCTCTTGATGAAAGTGAAGGAGGAGAGTGAAAAAGCTGGCTTAAAACTCAACATTTAAAAAATGAAGATCATGGCATCCAGTCCCATCACTTCATGGAAAACAGATGGGGAAGTAATGGAAACAGAAACAGGCTTTATTTTCTTGAGCTCCAAAATCACTGCAGATGGTATCTGCAGCCATGAAATTAAAAGGCGCTTGCTCCTTGGAAGAAAAGCTATGACCAACCTAGACAGCACATTAAAAAGCAGAGACATTACTTTGCCAGCAAAGGTCCATCTAGTCAAAGCTATGGTTTTTCCAGTAGTCATGTATGGATGTGTTAGTTAGACTCTAAAGAAAGCTGAGCACTGAAGAATTGATGTTTTAGAACTGTGGTGTTAGAGAGACTCTGGAGAGCCCCTTGGACTGCAAGGAGATCAAACCAGTCAATCCTAAAGGAAATCAGTCCTGAATATTCACTGGAAGGACTGATGCTGAAGCTGAAACTCCAATACTCTGGCCACCTGATGAGAAGAGCTAACTCATTTGAAAAGACCCTGATGCTGGGAAAGATTGATGGCAGGAGGAGAAGGGGACCACAGAGGATGAGACAGTTGGATGACATCCCTGACTCAATGGACATGAGCTTGAGCAAGCTTGGGGAGTTGGTGATGGACAGGGAAGCCTGGCCTGTTGCAGTCCATGGGGTCACAGAGTCAGACACTACTGAGCAACTAAACTGAACTGAACTACATGTTCTTCACCAAGTCTAATGCTCCATATCTTCACATCCTCTCCTCAGTATTATAGGAAACTCCTTCCAAAAAGACTCCCCAAAATTCCTGTGTTCTCTTTTACTGTTGTTGAGTTGATAAGTTGTGTCCGACTCTTTGCAGGACCATGGAGTGCAACAAGCCATGCTCTTCTGTCCTCCACTATCTCCCAGAGTTTGCTCAATTTCATGTCCATTGAGTCAGTGATACTATCTAACAACCATTTCATCCTCTGCTGCCTCTTTCTCCTTTTGCCTTCAATCTTTCCTAGCATCAGGGTCTTTTCCAATGAGTCAGCTCTTCGCATCAGGTAGACAATGTATTGGAGCTTCAGCTTCAGCATCAGTCCTTCCAATGAGTATTCAGAGTTGATTTCCTTTAGGATTGACTGATTTGATTTCCTTGCAGTCCAAGTAGCTCTCAAGAGTCTTCTCCAACACACCACACTTTGAAAGCATCAATTCTTCTGCACTCAGCCTTCTTTGTGGCTCATCTCTCACATCTGTACATGACTACTGGAAAAACCATAGTTTTGACCATACAGACTATTGTCAACAAAGTGATGTCTCTGCTTTTGAATATGCTGTCTAGGTTTGTCATAGCTTTCCTTCCCAGGAGCAAGCATCTGTTAATTTCATGGCCGTAGTCACCATCTAAAGTGATTTTGGAGCCCAAGAAAGGAAAATCTGTGACTATTTCCACTTTTTCCCTTTCTATTTGCCATTACATGATGGGACTGGATGCCGTGATCTTAGTGTTTTGAATGTTGAGTTTTAAGTCATCTGTTTCACTCTCCTCTTTCAGTCTCATCAAGAGGCTCTTCACTTTCTGCCATTAGATTGGTATCATCTGCATATCTGAGGTTGTTGATATTTTTCCTGGAAATCCTGATTTCAGCTTGTGATTCATCCAGTCCAGCATTTTGCATGATGTACTCTGCATATAAGTTAAATAAGCAGAGTGACAATACATATCCTTTTCATTCTCCTCTCAGAATTTTGAACCAGTCTGTTATTCCATATCAGGTTCTATTTTATTCCAGGCTTTATCAAACTTTGGCTGGAAATGTAATTACATTAATAACCCAGTTTTACTGGTTTTTGCCTTTACCTGCTCACTGAGGACACTAGTCCCCCATATCAATGTCTTCAATCTCCAAGGCAGGTCATGCAAGTGCTCAGCTATGATCATTATGAGTGCTGTTTTTCCATGTACTATAATCCTATCTCAGCTCCATTTAGATCATGATATAACCTTCAAATTACTTCATAGTTCACTTACAACAAAATCCAAAATTTAACCATGTTTCAACACCTCGCATGATCTGACCACTGCCTAGTTGTTCCCTGGCAACACTGGTCTCCCCCTCCTTTTTTTTAACTGAAGTGACATTGGTTTATAACATTATGTAAGTTTCATGTGTATGACATTATTGTTTGACATCTGTGTATACTTCTGCATCCCCAAAACCAAAAGTCTTGTTTCCATTCATCACCTCATACTTGACCCTTTCTACCCATTTTTACCTCCCTTTCCTGCTCTTCCCATCTGGTAGCCACCAATTTGCTCTCTGTGTGTATGTGTTTTGATTTTTATATCCACGATGAGTGAAATCACACAACATTTGTCTTTCCCCATCTTTTTTCACTTGGATTGATATCTTTAGGTTTCATTCATATTTTCACAAATGGCAAGATTTCATTTTTGCTTAATGGTAGAGCATGATTTCATTGCATTACATATACTATACCTTCTTTATCCATTCATCTGTCAGTGGCCACTCAGATTGTTTCCACATCTTGGCTATTGTAAATAGTGCTTCAGTCAACATATGAGTGCATGTATCTTTTCAAATTATGTTTTTGTATTCTTCAGATAACTACCCCAAAGTGGAATAGTTGAATCTCCCAGAGGCAGCATATAATTGGATCTTGTTTTTTAATCCATCCAGCCACTCTGTATCTTAATTGGTGAACTAAATTAACTTGTATTTAAGGTGATTACTGCCAAGTGAGGACTTAGTACTGCCATTTAATCTTTTGTTTACTGGTTGATCTGCATCTCCATTGTTTCTTTTCCCTTGTGTTTCTCTCTGCCATTTTAGCTTGATAGTTTTCTATGATGTGTTTCTCAGTTTCCTCTTTTCTTACATTTTGTTCCTCTGCTCTAGATGTTTTATGGTTATCATGAGGTTTGTATAAAACATATCATAGGTAAAATAGTCCTTTTTCTGCTAATAGCAATTTATTTGCCTGTATGGATTCCATCCTTTTGCTCTTCCCCTCTTAAGTTTTTGTTGTCTCAAATTAACCCTTTTTAAATTGTGAGTTCATTACCAAATTAAAGTAGGTATAGTAATTTTACTGCTTTTCCCCTTTAACTTTTACTCTATAACTGTTTAACCATCTGTTCTGAAGTTGCAATTTTCTGATTCTATTCACCACTTTACTCAAAGTTTTGAATTCTTTTGCCTTTTTGTTTGAGTTAGAAGAGTTGTTTTCAACATCTCTTGTAAGGCAGGTTTAGTGATGATGAACTGGAGTATCTCATATCACCATGATATTGATGTCATCCCTGATCCTTTTTCTAACATTCATCTCCATTTACACCTGAAGGACTTTGTACTTGGTGCACCTCTGTCTGAAATGCACATTTCCCAGATCTCAAAACAATTGGTTATCCTGTAATATCAAGGCTTATCGCATACGGGATCTCTCCAGAGAGGCCTTCCTGGACTGCTCAAACTAAAGTTGGCTCTTCTCTTGGTCACTTTCTATTACTGTTTCATTTTCCTTTTTTGTTTTTTAGCTAATTTATTGCTTAAGATTCCTATCAGCAAAGTATAATCCCCATAAAGGTGAACTCTTTATCTTGTTTACTACTGTGTCTTTAGTACCTAGAACATTATCTGGCACATAATAATAAAGAATCATTGTAGACTCATAAATGAATACTCATTACCCAGAAAGCTGCAGGCGCCTCATCATTAACACCAGTACTGCTGTATGCCTTGAGAACACTGAGGTCTGTGTCAAAGGAGGCAGTGAAATATAATAGTTAGGACTGTGACTTCTTTTGAATCTGGCTTTGCAATTAATGAGAAGTGAGATGTTGGGTGGGTTATTCAGTTTTAGATTAATGTTACCTTCTCTTCCTCACTAAGTTGTTGGGATAATTAAATAATAAAATACATGTAAAACACTTAGAACAGAGTTTGACTTTCAGCAAGTATGCCAGAAAATAGGAGCCATTATATTCCTATTTTATTAGTTAGGATCCTTTTAGTTGCAAATGAAGAAACAAACAAGCCAGCTTATGTAGAAAAGAGAAATTTATTATACAGTAGTAGAGGTGTTTCACAGAACCCAAAGGCAGAAATGCCTCTAGGCCTCAGGAAAGAGCTAGAATCAAGAGTTGGAAAGCCATCAATAAATGTTCTCTTTCCATCTCTCATTGTGGATTTTCTCCATAACTCCCCCCCACTGTTTAATCTTCTTGCTCTGCATCCACAGTAACTTTCCCTTCTCCTCGACTTCCCTCTACAGAGCCTGAACTTATAGGCAAAGCCACTCGCAGACACTGACAGCCATTCATTGTTCTCTGTTGTAGATTCCAAGGGGTGATAATCTGAGCAGCCCTTGTGAGTCTGATATCTACCCCCGTCAATCAGCCAATTGTACTGTGATGCAGTACAATTATAGCCGCAAGTGACCACTATATATGGTTTCAAGGAAGGGACCTCTTCTTTCACTCCTGAGAAAAGCAGATATCCCCAGAGGAGTCCACTGCACAGACCTTCCCAATGCTGACAATTCAGAGGGTTGGATCAGCTCCAGGACTTCAGCAGGCATGGAGAGAATGCCCTGGCCTTCTGTTCCTTGAGCAAGTCAACAGGCCTGTGCCCCTAAGACTCCCAGAATCACTTTGGCTCCCTACCGAGGACACTCACCAAACTATAGACCCATCTTCTTCATGACTTCATCCCCTGCCAACTCCAAACATGCATAAATTTCCTTCTGATAGCTTTCAACCTTCATAAAGATCAACCTAAGCAAATAAAAGACTTGTGAGGTTGCTGGTGCCATGACTTCCTCACACACACTCTTCTGCCACTCCAAGCCCATGCACAGCCTATATTTTCACATCTAGAAAGGTCTCCACCCAAATCACTTAAAACCAAGGACACTCATGTTTTAACTGATGCGTTTTATTGCAGAACTCTTTAGGTAGGAACGAGGTATGCTAGGCAAAGGAGACTTGTACCCTAGGAAATGGAGACACAGGTCAGTTTTATGCCCAGTTGCAGCAGTGACAGCTGGTGTCAAAGACAAGCCCGGTCGGGCAATTCTGCTCGTATGTGATTCCATTTGCGCAGTTCCAGAAGGCATTTCTGTTATTCTCCACTGGGTAAAGGCCATCAGCTTTGTCGGCACAGTATCCTCTACCCTCGGAGCTGCTGCTCTCATTTCCATTCCCACTTTCATTTCCAGGATTGCTGCTGGGCTCACTGGTCGGAGTGGAGGCGCTACAGGCTGAAATAGCACAAAGAGCAGACCTGGCAGAGGCTCCCAGGTTCACCTAGAGGTGAAGAACTAGCAGGCCTGAGGTGAGGTCTGGAGATGGGTTGCTGTTGGCTCTGGGTCCTGACACCTGAGAAGCTCACAAGGTAACTCCATACTTAGGAATTAAGAGCAGCCCTAATTTCAAGCCAGCCTGCTTTTAAATTTTAAAAGTTCTCTCTTAATATGCTAAATTCATTTTTAAAAATTTTTACTGAGCATCCAGTATATGCAAAATGGTTTTCTAGGATTTGGGTTTAAGTGGTGAGCAGGTAAGCTCTAAGAGAAAATCTGGACAAAATTTAGAGAATTGGTACTTCCCCTGAATTACAGGTTTAGAAATATGTCAGTATGGGCTTCCCTCTTAGCTCAGTTGGTAAAGAATCTGCCAGCAATGCAGGAGACCTGGGTTCGATTCCTAGATCGGGATGATCCCCTGGAGAAGGAAATGGCAACTCACTCCAGTATTCTTGCCTGGAGAATTCCATGGACAGAGGAGCCTGGCAGGTTACAGTCAGTCCATGGGGTCATAAGAGTTGGACACAACTTAACGACTAAACCCTAAACCCACCCCAGTACTGCTTAGGGTTTGTTATTCAGTCTCCCCAGGCAGGCTAAAGAAGACTTTTAATAAGGGGTTCATAGAAAAGTAAATGCTAATATTAAAGGCCAGCCTAATTTCTTGAGGCTTTTCCACACCTTTAAAACTTAGTAGACCTGGAAAACCCTCCCAGCAGACCTGGTCTCATTAGAGCATACAACTGCTAACAAGGAAAGAATGTTAAGTGCCTGTCTCTCAGCCAGGCAACAGTGATGAGGAGACTCCTGGGAGCAAAGGGAATGGGAAGATGTTAGGCTGTCTTGAGTTGGAAAAGGAGCATCTATACACCCTGGGCATTCCCCTACTGTCACTTACTTGCACTCTTCAGGCCAAGAGCATCCTTCAAGGTGTTGATCAGGGGGAACTTGCCCTGGTTGCAGAAAGTGCCTGTGAAATCATCCAGGTCAATGGCCCAGACCATGGCACCACCAAAGTTGTTCTCCTTAAGCCACTGAGCCTATTTAAGGATTGAGGACACCAGGAATCATTTTATTTCTTGAGACTCTGGGCTGAGCTGACAGCACATTGGAGAGGCTGACCTTACCTTGATTCTGAAGCTGTTAACATTGTCATAGCCAACCCACTCAGTGCCCTTGTAGGCATAGGGCACGTCCTGAGAGTCATCCCATACCTCAGTGGCTCCATCTTTCAGGAAGGTGCAGATCTTTAAAAATCCAAGAGATTAAAATCCTTTAACTATGACTCCCATGAAAAATAAAACATACACCTTCCTCTTTGATTTTTTTTCCTGTCATGTCCCCAGGAGTCTCCTCATTGCTGTTGCCTGGCTGAGAGACAGGCACGTACCACAGGTTTCTAATTATGGCCTTTTACCTGCAGTAAATAGGAACAAGTTGTTTTTGAAATACTCAGATGTTAGCCTTATTCTTAGTGCTTGATTTTGGGAACCCACATCAGTATGGGAGATAGTTACTTAATTCCCTTATGTGTTAATATAAATGACCTTAAGTATGCAGTGTGTTGTTTGAATGGGCTTCCCTGGTGGCTCAGCAGTAAAGAATTCACCTGCAATGCACAAGATGTGGGTTCAACTCCTGAGCTGAGAAGATCCCCTGGAGAAGGAAATGGCAACCCACTCCTGTTTTCTTGCCTGGAGAATCCCATGGACAGAGGAGCCTTGCAGGCTAGTCCATGGAGTTGCAAAAGAGTCAGACATGACTTTGCAACTAAACAACAAGCAACAACAATTGTACTTTGAAGGGATATTGCACACTATGAATCTTCATACTGGATTAGGTAAATGAATAGGTTACTTACACACCTGAAGCGTTTGGAATAATATTTCTGTTAAAGTTTGTAAATAGTGGACAGAATGAACATTCAAGCTTCTTGTAAGTCCTAGCCCTAAGGCTACTGTGCAGCACAGGACATGGCATTCCTAGAGTTCCAATTGTACAGCCCAGCATACCTACCTCATAGTAGGCCCAGAACCCAGCCTCCCTGGTATAGGGCCCAGCAGGACCAGCGCCAGAAGTGGGGGCACCGACGCCATTGTTGGAAGCGTCTCTTAGGGTGAAACTGTGTCCGTAGGCAGGGAATCCAACGATAAGCTTCTCAGCCGGGGCCCCATTGTTCTTCCAGTAGTTCATGGCGTATTCCTGAAAAGGTAGCAGGTGAGTTAGAGACCCACCCAGCTGAAAACCCCACGCTTTGTTATACTAGTCCACTGACCTAACAGGTAAAATTTAATGATGCTCATGACATAGATTAGTTTGTACTTTTTCAAAAATATTTTGGTGAGGTTATAGTTAATGAGATAAAATCAGTCATTTAGGAGAGTTATCCAAATGAGACTTCTGCTGAATTTATGTTTGTTTTGTCCCTGAATCTGCATGTAATTTACAACATCTCTGGTCTGCATCTGCATCTGTGTGGAGACTCACCACATTGAGGTAAGCATTGCTGCCAGTGTCAGTTGGGTATTTGTAGAGAGGGCTGTTCTCTCCGGTGTAGCCTTCCCAGGAACCATGGAAGTCATAGGTCATGACATGGATAAAGTCCAGGTACCTGAGGTTAGAATAAAGGGTTGTAAAGCATTTCCCATGGCTATTTCCCACATTTATGTGGACATCCCTGGTAGCTCAACAGTAAAGAATTCACTTGCCAATGCAGGAGACACAGGTTCTGAACCTGGGTAGAGAGATTCCCTAGAGATGGAAATGGCAACTCACTCCAATATTCTTGCCTGGGAATTTCCATGGACCTAGGAGCCTGGTGGGCTACAGTCCATAGGGTCCCAAAAGAATTGGATATGACTTAGTGACTAAATAACAACAGTAGTTATGTCCCACATTTAAGTGAGCAAAAGATACCACTTCCGAAACACGCTAAACAAAGTCCCTTGGGTAGCAAGACAAAGGACAAGTCTACCTCACAAGAGTGATGCCTGCAAGAGGTTTGAGGATAAGGTGAGTCACTCACTGGGATAGCTGGGGAATCTCATAGCCAGCTTGGATATTGGAGATGCCAGCAGCTACTGCCGCAGTGACCAGCAGCCTGGGCTTGTTGGTTTGCTTGGCTTCCTGTTCAAAAGCTTCACGTGTTTCCTATAGAATAATCAAGTATAGTAAAGCATCTATGAAACTGATTTCAACCCCTTAACTATTAATAAATTTATATTTATATAATGCTTTACTTTTTCAAAGTGCTTTCACATATTTTATCTTACTTTTGTTTCTCAATACCCCTATAAAGTAGACAGGATTGATGGTATTAATTTTATAGCTAATATGTGTATAAGTTAGATTATTTCACCAAAGTCTCACAGCAAGTTAGTAGCCAGGTCATGACCAAAACCCAGGTCCCAGATGATCAGTCAGAGCTCTACTTATATCACTGCACTATGAAGTTATAGTTGCTGTAATAATTTATATCCAGGTTTTAGCAGTACAGAAATTTGCTTTCCTTTGTCCAGTAAATGAGCTACTTTATTGGAAAGTAAAACTTTTCAACAAATGAAAACTTCAATTGGTCAATGGGGAAGCTATTAACAGCCAGGTGATAGATTCCCATTCAGTGCTAGAGGTTAATCCATCTTTATTGTGTGACTCTAATCTCATCTTGAGTACTGAATTCAGTTTTTATAACTGCATTATTAGGGTGTACCAAAGTGTGCTCCAGTGAAGAATGTGTCTAAAGATTGTCATACATATACTTATTAAATGAACTAGGTTATTTAACTAGAAGATGAAAAATTATTAACAAGATAGTATAGCTGTCTTCAAATATTGGACCAACCGATATATTACCAAAGGGAGAAGCTTTATTCTTTGTTAGTTCAGTGAACAGAGCTAGAACCAATAATTGGAAGTTATTAATTGTGACTGGAAGTATGCCTTGACTAAGAATATAGATGTTCTTTTTGATCACTAGAGCTCATCAACAAGTAAGTGGATTGATTTTTCAACCAATGAATTACTTAATGCTGAAATTATTGGGTAGTGGCAGACAATCTGGTATAACAGATGGTATAGGGAAAATGTCTATCTTGGGGGAGGGTAAATTTATGAAAGCCTTCCTCAGTGATCAATGCAAAGAAATAGAGGAAAAGAATAAAATGGGAAAGACTAGAAATCTCTTCAAGAAAATTAGAGATACCAAGGGAACATTTCATGCAAAGATGGGCTCAATAAAGACAGAAATGGTATGGACCTAACAAAAGCAGAAGATGTTAAGAAGAGGTGGCAAGAATACACAGAACTGTACATAAAAGATCTTCATGACCCAGATAATCACGATGGTGTGATCATTCACACTCACCTAGAGCCAGACATCCTGGAATGTGAAGTCAAGTGGGCCTTAGGAAACACCAGTACAAACAAAGCTAGAGGAGGTGATGGAATTCCAGTTGAGCTATTTCAAATGCTAAAAGATGATGCTGTGGAAGTGCTGCACTCAATGTGTCAGCAAATTTGGAAAACTCAGCAGTGGCCACAGGACTGGAAAAGGTCAGTTTTCATTCTAATCCCAAAGAAAGGCAATGCCAAAGAATGCTCAAACTACCACACAATTGCACGCATCTCACACACTAGTAAAGTAATGCTCAAAATTCTCCAAGCCAGACTTCAGCAATACATGAACCGTGAACTTCCAGATGTTCAAGCTGGTTTCAGCAAAGGAAGAGGAACCAGAGATCAAATTGCCAATATCCACTGGATCATTGAAAAAGCAAGAGAGTTCCAGAAAAACATCTATTTCTGCTTTATTGACTATGCCAATGTGTGGATCACAATAAATGGTGGAAAATTCTGAAGGAGATGGGAATACCAGACCACCTGACCTGCCTCTTGAGAAACCTGTGTGCAGGTCAGGAAGCAACAGTTAGAACTGGACATGAAACAACAGACTGGTTCCAATTAGGAAAAGGAGTACAGCAAGGCTGTATGTTGTCACCCTGTTTATTTAACTTATATGCAGAGTACATCATGAGAAACGCTGGGCTGGATGAAGCACAAGCTGGAATCAAGATTGCCAGGAGAAATATCAATAACCTCAGATATGCAGATGACACGACCCTTATGGCAGAAAGTGAAGAGGAACTACAGATCCTCTTGATGAAAGTGAAAGAGGAGAGTGAAAAAGTTGGCTTAAAACTCAACATTCAGAAAACTAAGATCATGTCAACTGGTCCCATCTCTTCATGGCAAATAGATGGGGAAACAGTGAAAACAGTGTCAGACTTTATTTTTTTGGCCTCCAAAATCACTGCAGATGGTGACAGCAGCCATGAAATTAAAAGACGCTTACTCCTTGGAAAGAAAGTTATGACCAACCTAGACAGCACATTAAAAAGCAGAGACATTACTTTGTCAACAAAGGTCCATCTAGTCAAGGCTATGGTTTTTCCATTGGTAATGTATGGGTGTGAGAGTTGGACTATAAAGAAGGCTGAAAGTCAAAGAACTGATGCATTTGAACTGTGGTGTTGGAGAAGACTCTTGAGAGTCCCTTGGACTGCAAAGAGATCCAACCAGTCCATCCTAAAGGAGATCAGTCCTGACTATTCTTTGGAAGGACTGATGCTGAAGCTGAAACTCCAATACTTTGGCCCCATGATGATAAGAGCTAACTCATTTGAAAAGACCCTGATGCTGGGAAAGATTGATGGCAGGAGGAGAAGGGGACAACAGAGGATGAGATGGTTGGATGGCATCACCGACTCAATGGACATGGGTTTGGGTGGACTCCGGCAGTTGGTAATGGACAGGGAGGCCTGGCGTGCTGCTGTTCGTGGGGTCGCAAAGAGTCAGACATGACTGAGTGACTGAACTGAACTGAAATCTAAAAGCCATCCTTGCTTTTCTCACTCCATTCATTTTTCCTCGGTGATCTCTTAATTATTTAACTTTGTTGATGATGTTGATACAATATATCAAATACCCGTTTGTCATTCATCCAACATATATTCACCCAGTGTCTATTGGGCATTCTTATGTGCCCTACAAATTCTTCTCTCTCATCATGTTCAAAGACAAATTAATGAGTTTTTCTTCTTGTTTCAAATCTACCTTTTTCCTGTATTTACCATCTTAGTTAAGAGGACCAGAGTCAAATCAATTCTCACGGACAGAAAACTGGAAATTCTCTCTTTTCCCACTTCCATTTGGTCTCCAAATCCTATAGATTCTACCCCCCTAATATCTCTTGTATACTTCCTCTTTCTGTCCTCACTGTTAGGATCTTTGTTCAGGTCCTCAGCCTTTCTGGCTTGAGTTATTGTAATAGCCTCCTAACTCTCTCCCTGTCTCCCTACCTCCTTTTAATTCATCCTCCATGGTTAAAGTCAGAGTAATCCTTCTAAAACATGAGTTTTGCCATATCTCTAGATTACTAAAAAATCCTTCAAAAAATTAGTGCTCATTAGTACCCATGTAGTACCCAGACTACATGGGTAGTTATGACACTTATTAGCTGTTTGATATTAGGTTGCTTAAACTCTTCATATTTTACCTTTCTCATTTGTAAAATAAAGGTTATTATACTTATAGTATCTTTATCATAGGGTACATATGAAGATGAAATGGGCTAAAACTTTAAAAACAGCTTATAAAATTGTGCCTGGCACATAACCCATGTAATGTTGTTGTTGTTGTTATCAAATGCTGTTGAATATAGGCATGATATCCGAGAATCTTTGTGATGCAAAGATCCTATAAATCTAAACTCCAATTTACTTTCATTCTGGAACCACCAGATTCTCCTTGCAAAGAATTCTCCTTTGGATTTTCTTGGGCTCGACGCTGCCACATTCCTCCTCACCTGCACCAAGACAGTGAAGAGATGCTTGTCCTGAGAAGGGCTTCCACGAGAGCCAGGGTACTCCCAATCAAAATCCAGCCCATCAAATCCATACTGGCGCAGGAACTGGATGACTGAAGAAATGAAATTCTTGCGGTTCTCTGGAGTGGCAACCATGGCAGTGAAACTGAGAGAGATTCAAAGAAGGCAGAGTGAGGTCTTGGTGGCCACAACATCTTGTTGGAAAGTCAAACTCCTATATTTTTGCCTCAAAGCTTTCTACTAGGACCCAAAGCCCAGATAAAAGTTTATTGCTGATTTTCTCCTGTACTTCTTTATATAACTACTCTGCCAGCCATGGTACCTCAACATTCTCTTTACTTTGTTATCCACACAACTCTGATTATTCTTCCAAATTGGACCTGTTGCTTTGAATGCCTGTCTACTTTGGCTCAATGTGTTGTCTCTCTAAATGATCTCTGAAGTTCATATGCCTTTAAAAGAGTTTCCTTATTTATTTTCATGACATTCTCTTTCTTTCTTCCAGAAGGTAAATGGAGAAAAGTGCTATAACATTCTTCTCAGGCATTGTGTTTCTGAAATACTTTAAGAAGAGATTGTTTTGAAGTCTTAGTAACTGAATCTCTGAATGGAGTCCTAGAATATCCATATAAATGTAAACATATACAATAAATTGTGTTCTATTTAGTACTGAGATTCTGGTGTAGTAATTTATTTAAGTAGCATATTTGTTTAATGTACATCCTTAATACCCCATCTTAGGTTATGAAATCTGGAGAAGGAAATGGCAACCCACTCCAGTATTCTTGCCTAGAGAATCTCGTGGACTGAGGAGCCTGGTGGGCTGCTGTCCATAGGGTCACACAGAGTTGGACACAACTGAATCGACTTAGCCTGCATGCATGCATTGGAGAAAGAAATGGCAACACACCCCAGTATTCCTGCCTGGAGAATCCCAGGGACAGAGGAGCCTGTTGGGCTGCCATCTATGGGGTCACACAAGAGTCGGACACGACTGAAGTGACAGCAGCAGTGGTGGATTATGAAATCTGAAGGGACATGGGTCACACTGGGCTAACCTGTTATCCATAGCAAATTAAATGAACATCAAGCTCTCTCATAGAGGACTTACGGGGCAGTTCCAAAGTTCCAGCCTCCAATGGCCAGGAGAATTTTCAGCTGGCTGTTCCTATAAAACAAAGTAGATAAAAGAAAAACTTCAAAATCCATGAATCCCTCAATTTAAAAATAATGCTTTGTATTGGGCCTGATTATAAACTTTAATGTTGTCTTGATAAGATACTCTGTAGAACAATTTCCCATCACTACAGAACACCTTATTTATAAAAATTATTTGTGTTATCATTATGAATGCACAGAGTTCTTTAGAGAAATCTAAATTAGAAGACTTTTTTTTTCTTCCCTTGAGAATAAAAGAACAGGTTATCCATGAGTTAAAGGGAACATGGGCTTCCCAGGTAGCTCTAGTGGTAAAGTATCTGCCTGCCAGTGCAGGAGACATAAGAGAAGCAGGTTTGATCCCTGGGTAGAGAAGACCTCCTGGAGAAGGGAATGGCAGCCCACTCCAGTATTCTTGCCTTGGAGCAGCCCATGGACAGAGGAGCCTGGCAGGCTACAGTCCAGATGGTCGCAAAGAGCTGGACACGACTGAAGCAACTTAGCATATAGAAGAGACATATAAGCATACTATAGTTTAAAATATTATAGTAAAAGACTGAGAAAAAAAAAATAGGTTGATGCTATGAAACTACAGAGCTTCCCTGGTGGCTCAGAAGGTAAAGAATCTGCTTGCAATGTGGGGGACCCGCTTTCTATCTCTGGATTGGGAAGATCCACTAGAGAACGAAATGGCAACACACTCCAGTATTTTTGCAAAAAGAATCCCATGGACAGGGGACGCTGGCAGGCTACAGTCCAGGGGGGTCACAAAGAGTCAGACACGACTGAGCAACTAACACTATTAGGGCAAACACTTTGCTTGGGATGGATATTTCAGGGCAGCACTTGATGGATGAGCAGGATCTCCTGGATCTTGTCCTGGAAGTTCTCTGCAGCTATCCCTGCTTCAAGCTCTCAAAGTTCCTCTTCCTTCTCTGCTTCTTGGGCCTAATGTTGGAAGCCCATTTGCATCTGAAGTTGCTTCCAGTACTCCTAGGCTAAACCGCAGCAAGTAAGTGTCTTGTAAAATTCTCCCCCTCTTCACGGTTAAGCTCTTTAAGACCTTCATTTATGAGTTCCTGTTCCACAGGACTAGGTTTTTTAAAAATAGGATTGTACTGGGAATTCTTACATTCTATCCTATCAGCTGAAATGGTAAGTGATGCTTGGACATAATTACTTTCTCAGACTCTGTGATCATGAAAATGAATCAATTGGCTTAGAATCATGAACATTATCTGGACTAGTGTTTCTCAAGCATCAGTTTAGATAAGAATAGAGTACAAGGACCAGAGTTGAAGGATAACATTAAAATTTCAGGTGTTTAGCCCCTTTCTCAAAGACTGTGATTCAGTTGGATTAGGGACTGAGATATTTATCAACTGCCTCATATGTGATTTTGATGCAAGATATAGATCACAGTTTAAGAAATACCACTCTGAAAGGGCTTGGGCTTCCCAGGTGGTGCTAGTGGTAAAGAATCTGCCTGCCTATTCATGAGACATAAGAGATGTGGGTTTAGTCCCTGGGTGGGAAAGATCCCCTAGAGGAGAGCATGGCAACCCACTGCAGTATTCTTGTCTGGAGAATCCCACGGACAGAGGAGCCTGGTGGGCTATAGTCCATACAGTCACAAAGAGTGGACATGACTGAAGCGGCTTAGCATGCACACACACATCATAACTCAAATCCAAAACTTGAGAACACCAGAAGACTCCTGACTCCAGGGACAAGAGCTCATCTAAAAGCCTCCATACCTACACTGAAACCAAGCACCACCCAAGAGCCAACAAGTTCCAGAGCAAGACATTCCAAGCTAATTCTTCAACAATGCAAGAACACAACCCTGAGCACAGAAATACAGGCAGCCAAAAGTCACACGAAACCCATAGACACCTGAAAACTCACTACTGGACACTTCATTGCACTTCAGAGAGAAGATATCCAGCTCCACCCACCAGAACATTGATGCAAGCTTCCCTAACCAGGAAACTCTGACAAGCCACTCGTCCAACCCCACCCACAGGGGGGAACCTCCACAATAAAGAAGAACCACAAACTTCCAGCATAGAGAAAGACCACCCAAACACAGCAACCTAAACAAGATGAAAAGGCAGAGAAATATTCAGCAGGTAAAGGAACATGATAAAAGCCCACCAAACCAAACAGAAGAGGAGGAGATAGGTAGTATATCTGATAAAGAATTCAGAATAGTGATAGTAAAAATGATCCAACATCTTGAAAACAAAATGGAGTTACACATAAATAGTCTGGAGACAAGGTTTGAGAAGATGCAAGAAAAGTTTAACAAGGACTTAGAAAAAATAAAAAAGAGTCAACCAATAATGAATAATGCAATAACTGAGATCAAAAGCACTTTGGAGGCAACCAACAGTAGAATAACTGAGGCAGAAGATAGGATAAATGAAGTGGAAGATAGAATTGTGGAAATACATGAAGCAGAGAGGAAAAAAGAATTAAAAGAAATGAGGAAAACATCAGAGACCTCTGGGACAATGTAAAAAGTCCCAACGTTCAAATCATAGTAGTCCCGTAAGAAGAAGACAAAAAGAAAGGCCTTGAGGAAATACTTGAGGAGATAATAGTTGAAAACTTCCCTAAGATGGGGAAGGAAATAGCCACCCAAGTCTAAGAAAACCAGAGTGTCCCAAAGAGGATAAACCCAAATTGAAACACCCCAAGACCCATAATAATCAAATTAACAAAGATCAAACACAAAGAACAAATATTAAAAGCATCAAGGGAAAAAAAACAAATAACTCACAAAGGGATCCCCATAAGGATAACAGCTGATCTTTCAATAGAAACTCTTCAAGCCAGAAGGGAATGGCAAGACATACTTAAAGTGATGAAAGAGAAAAACCTACAACCCAGATTATTGTACCCAGCAAGGATCTCACTCAAATATGAAGGAGAAATGAAAAGCTTTACAGACAAGCAAAAGCTGAGACAATTCAGCCCCATCAAACCAGCTTTCCAACAAATGCTAAGGATCTCTTCTAGATAGGAAACACAGAAAAGGTTTATAAACTCGAATCTGAAACAACAAAGTAAATGGCAATGAGATCATACTTATCAATAATTACCTTAAATGTAAATGGGTTGAATGCCACAACCAAAGGACAAAGACTGGCTGAATGGATACAAAAGCAAGACCCCTATATATGCTGTCTACAAGAGACCCACCTCAAACCTAGGGATACATATAGACTGAAAGTGAAGGGCTGGAAAAAGATATTTCATGCAAATGGAGACCAAAAGAAAGCAGGAGTAGCAATACTCATATCACATAAAATAGATTTTGAAAGAAAAGGCCATGGAAAGAGACAAAGAAGGACACTACATAATGATCAAAGGATCACACCAAGAAGAAGATATAATAATTATAAATATATATGCAACCAACGTAGGAGCACCACAATATGTAAGGCAAATGCTAATAAGTATGAAAGGGGAAATTAACAGTAACACAATAATAGTGGGACAGTTTAATACCTCACTCACACCTATGGATAAATCAACTACACAGAAAATTAGCAAGGAAATACAAACTTTAAATGATACAATGGACCAGTTAGACCTAATTGATATCTATAGGACATTTCAACTTTAAACAATAAATTTCACCTTTTTCTCAAGTGCACATGGAACCTTCTCCAGGATGAATCACATCCTGGGCTATAAATCTAGCCTTGGTAAATTCAAAAAAACTGAAATCATCTCAAGCATCTTTTCTGATCACAATGCAGTAAGATTAGATGTCAACTACAGGAAAAAAGCTATTAAAAATACAAACACATGGAGGCTAAACAACACACTTCTGAATAATCAACAAATCACAGAATAAATAAAAAAAGAAATCAAAATATGCATAGAAACAATGAAAATGAAAACACACCAACCCAAAACCTATGGGATTCAGTAAAAGCAGTGCTAAGGGGAACGTTCATAGCAGTACAAACCTACCTCAAAAACAGGAGAGAAATCAAATAAATAACCTAACTGTATACCTAAAGCAACTAGAAAAGGAAGAAAGGAAGAGCCTCAGGATTAGTAGAAGGAAAGAAATCATAAAAATTAGGGCAGAAATAAATGCAAAAGAAACAAAGGAGACCATAGCCAAAATCAGCAAATCTAAAAGCTGGTTCTTTGAGAAGATAAATAAAATTTACAAACCATTAGCCAGACTAATCAAGAAACAAAGGGAGAAGAATCAAATCAACAAAATTAGAAACGAAAATGGAGAAATCACAACAGACAACACAAATACAAAGGATCATAAGAGACTACTATCAGCAACTATATGCCAATAAAATGGACAACTTGGAAGAAATGGATAAATTTGTAGAAAAGTATAACTTTCCAAAACTGAACCAGGAAGAAATAGAAAATCTTAACAGACTCATCACAAGCACAGAAATTGAAACTGTAATCAGAAATCTTCCAGCAAACAAAAACCAAGGACCAGACGGCTTCACGGCTGAATTCTACCAAAAATTTAGAGAAGAGCTAACATCTATCCTCCTCAACTCTTCCAGAAAATTGCAGAGGAAGGTAAACTTCCAAATTCATTCTATGAGGCCACCATCACCCTAATACCAAAACCAGACAAAGATGCTACAAAAAAAGAAAACTACAGGCCAATATCACTAATGAACATAGATGCAAAAATCCTTAACAAAATTCTAGCAAACAGAATCCAACAACATATTAAAAAGATTATCCATCATGACCAAGTGGGCTTTATCCCAGGGATGCAAGGATTCTTCAATATCTGCAAATCAATCAATGTGATACACCACATTAATAAGGTCAAAGATAAAAACCATATGATTATCTCAATAGATACAGAGAAAGCCTTTGACAAAATTCAACATCCATTTATGATTTAAGAAAAAAAACCCTCCAGAAAGCAGGCATAGAAGGAACATATCTCAATATAATAAAAGTCATATATGATAAACCTACAGCAAACATTATCCTCAATGGTGAAAAATTGAAAGCATTTCCCCTAAAGTCAGGAACAAGACAAGGGTGCCCACTCTCACCACTACTATTAAATATAGTTTTGGAAGTTTTGACCACAGCAATCAGAGAAGGAAAAAAATAAAAGGATTCCATACTGGAAAAGAAGAAGTAAAACTCTTACTGTTTGTAGATGACATGATCCTCTACACAGAAAACCCTAAAGACTCCACCTTAAAATTACTAGAGCTAATCAATGAATATAGTAAAGTTTCAGGATATAAAATTAACACACAGAAATCCCTTGCATTCCTATACACTAACAATGAGAAAACAGAAAGAGAAATTAAAGAAACAATTCCATTCACCATTGCAACGAAAAGAATAAAATTCTTAAGAATAAATCTACCTAAAGAAACAAAAGGCCTATATATAGAAAACTATAAAACACTGATGAAAGAAGTCAAAGAGGACACAAATAGATGGAGAAATACACCGTGTTCATGGATCAGAAAAATCAATATAGTGAAAATGAGTATACTACGCAAAGCAATCTATAGATTCAATGCAATCCCTATCAAGCTACCAACGGTATTTTTTACAGAACTAGAACAAATAACTTCACAATTTGTATGGAAATACAAAAAACCTCGAATAGCCAAAGCAATCCTGAGAAAGAAGAATGGAACTGGAGGAATCAACCTGCCTGACTTCAGGCTTTACTACAAAGCCACAGTCATCAAGACAGTATGGTACTGCCACAAAGACAGAAATATAGATCAATGGGACAAAATAGAAAGCCCAGAGATAAATCCACGTACCTATGGACACCTTAATTTCGACAAAGGAGGCAAGGATATACTGTGGAAAAAAGACAACCTCTTTAACAAGTGGTGCTGGGAAAACTTGTCAACCACTTGTAAAAGAATGAAACTAGAACACTTTCTAACACCATACACAAAAATAAACTCAAAATGGATTAAAGATCGAAATGTAAGGCCAGAAACTATAAAAGTCCTAGAGAGGAACATAGGCAAAACACTATCCGACATAAATCACAGCAGGATTCTCTATGTCCCACCACCCAGAATATTGGAAATAAAAGCAAAAATAAACAAATGGGACCTAATTAAACTTAAAAGCTTTTGTACAAGAAAGAAAACTATAACAGAGGCAAAAAGACAACCTTCAAAATGGGAGAAAATAATAGCAAACGAAGAAACAGACAAAGGATTAATCTCAAAAATATACAAGCAGCTCAGTTCTAGAAAAATAAATGACCCAATCAAAACATTGGCCAAATAACTAAACAGACATTTCTCCAAAGAAGACATACAGATGGCTAACAAACACATGAAAAGACGCTCAACATCCCTCATTATCAGAGAAATGCAAATCAAAAACACAATGAGGTACCATTACACACCAGTCAGGATGGCTGCTATCCAAAAGTCTACAAGCAATAAATGCTGGAGAGGGTGTGGAGAAAAGGGAACCCTCTTACACTGTTGGTGGGAATGCAAACTAGTACAGCCACTATGGAGAATAGTGTGGAGATTCCTTAAAAAACTGGAAACAGGACTGCCATATGACCCAGCAATCCCACTCCCGGGCATACACACTGAGGAAACCAGATCTGAAAGAGACATGTGCACCCCAATGTTCATAGTAGCACTGTTTATAATAGCCAGGACATGGAAGCAACCTAGATGCCCATCAGCAGATGAATGGATAAGAAAGCTATGGTACACATATACAATGGAATATTACTCAACCATTAAAAAGAATTCATTCCACTTAGTTCTAATGAGATGGATGAAACTGGAGCTCATTATACAGAGTGAAGTAAGCCAGAAAGATAAACACCAATACAGTATACTAATGCATATATACGGAATTTTAAAAGATGCTGATGATAACCCTATATGCAAAACAGAGAAAGAGACACCGATGTACAGAATAGACTTTTGGACTCTGTGGGAGAAGGCAAGGGTGGGATGTTCTGAGAGAATAACATTGAAACAAGTATACTATCAAGGGTGAAACAGATCACCAGCCCAGATTGGATGCATGAGACGACAACTCGGCGCTGGTGCACTGGGAAGACCCAGAGGGATGGGATGGGGAGGGAGGCAGGAGGGGAGAATCGGGATAGGGAACACATATAAATCCATGGCTGATTCATGTCAATGTATGGCAAAAACCACTACAATATTGTAAAGTAATTAGCCTCCAATGAATAAACATAAATGGAAAAAAAAATAAAGAAAGAACAAAACAAGCAAACAAAAAAAGAAAGCCCAGAGATAAATCCACGCACCTATGGACACCTTATCGTTGATAAAGGAGGCAAGAATATACAATGGAGAAAAGACAATCTCTTTAACAAGTGGTGCTGGGAACACTGGTCAACCACTTGTAAAAGAATGAAACTAGAACAGTTTCTAACACCATACACAAAAATAAACTCAAAATGGATTAAAGATCAAAATGTAAGACCAGAAACTATAAAACTCCTAGAGGAAAACATAGGCAAAACACTCTCTGACATAAATCACAGCAGGATCCTCTATGACCCACCTCCCAGAGTAATGGAAATAAAAGCAAAAATAAACAAATGGGACCTAATTAAATGTAAAAGCTTTTGCACAACGAAGGAAACTATAAGCAAGGTGAAAAGAAAGCCTTCAGAATGGGAAAAAATAATAGCAAATGAAGCAACTGACAAAGAATTAATCTTAAAAGTATACAAGCAACACCTGCAGCTCAATTCCAGAAAAATAAGCGACCCAATAAAAAAATGGGCCAAAGAACTAAACAGATATTTCTCCAAAGAAGACATACAGATGGCTAGTAAACACATGAAAAGATGTTCAACATCCCTCATCATCAGAGAAATGCATATCAAAACCACAATGAGGTACTGTCGCACAATGGTCACAATGGCTGCTATCAAAAAGTCTACAAGCAATAAATGCTGGAGAGAGTGTGGATAAAAAGGAACCCTCTTACACTGTTGGTGGGAATGCAAACTAGCACAGCCACTAGGGAGAACAGTGAGGAGATTCCTTAAAAAACTGGAAATAGAACTGCCATATGACCCAGCAATCCCACTGCTGGGCATATACATGGAGGAAACCAGAATTGAAAGAGACACGTGTATCCCAATATTCATCACAGCACTGTTTCCAATAGCCAGGACATGAAAGCAACCTAGATGTTTATCAGCGATGAATGAATAAGAAAGCTGTGATACATATACACAATGGAATATTACTCAGCTATTTAAAAATGCATTTGAATCAGTTCTAATGATGTGGATGAAATTGGAGCCTATTATACAGAGTGAAGTAAGTCCGAAAGAAAAACACCAATACAGTGTGTTAATACATATATATGGAATTTAGAAAGATGGTAACAATGACCCTATATGTGAGATAGCAAAAGAGACACAGATATAAAGAACAGACTTTTGGACTCTGTGGGAGAAGGTAAGGGTGGGATGATTTGAGAGAATAGCATTGAAACATCTATATTATCATATGTGAAACAGATCGCCAGTCCAGGTTTGAGGCATGAGACAGGGTGCTCAGGGCTGGTGCACTGGGATAACCCAGAGGGATGGGATGGGGAGGGAGGTGGGAGGGAGGGTCAGGATGGGGAACACATGTACACCCATGGCTGATTCATGTGAATGTCAGGCAAAAACCACCACAATATTTTAAAGTAATTAGCCTCCAATTGAAAAAAAACAAAAACAAAAAACTTGCCTTGAAAGGAGCAATTAAAAAAATATATCGATAGAGAAAGGAAGGGAGAAACAGAACTAATTTTTAAACACTATCTAAAGCAGGCAATGTTTTATGTTATTATAGTCTCAATACTTGAAGTTCAGTTCCTGGACAAGAAGCATCAACATCACTGGGAAGCTTGTTATAAACACAGTGTCTTAGTTTCCACCTGAGACTCACTGAACCTGAACTGCATTTTAAGAATGACTTGTTTGCACATTAATTAATGTCTGGGAAGTATTGCCCTGGAAGATACTAACTCAGATATCTCCCCTTTCTCTTACTTTTTTTTCAGGTCATTGAAAGAACTGTAGAGAGCCACATCATTCCATTCAATGGTGGTGATCTCATTGTTACTCATCCCAGCGAAGGCGTAGATCAGGTGAGTGCAGAGGCAGGGGTCGATGTTGTCAGGCTTGAAGCTTCCCAGGCCTGGACGGTACTGGGCCCAGTTAGAGAAGTAGCATACCAGCTGGTAGGCAGAACCTGAGGATAGTGAGAAGTAAGAACAATGGCCTGAGTTAGGTACCACTGAAATGTGCTGTAAGTGTTAGCTTTGCCTCTGTTTGCCTCCCTTTGCCTCAGATGCCTGTTCTCTGTGCAGGGTTGGTTAGTAGGAACACTTTCATTAATGAGTGCAAAGCTTCTAATGTGGGAACCAGTCACTGACTTGAGGCTGGTTATTTTGAACTTTAACAGATTCACTTTGTGATCTCAGCTAAGCTGGAGAACCACTTAAGAAAAGATGCCCGGTAGTCCTCCTATGAAGCCCAGTGAATACTAATGTATAACTCTCAGATGGTCATGCTGAATAGGATAGCAGTAGCAGCCAGTGCATCAAACCCATCTGTTTGTGAAGAAGACAGTAGCTTTCTTTCCCTAGTACAGTTTATCTCTTGGTATATTTTTTTAAAAAGTAATATTGGGGTATGAAAAAATAACATTTAATACATTAAGCAGACAAAAATTTCATTTAGTATAATTTACAGAGATTTGAGGTTTATGGTAGGGAAACATTATGTCAAGAGTAAAATACAGAGTCCATGACTTACCTAGCTGAGAATTCAGCAGAAAGGCCAGACCTAGAGAGAAAGAAACAACATGAATTCTGAACCAGTTATCTATATCTTGCCAAACATAATTCTGAGGCCTTGGGTACGATGTTACAGGTCACAGATGTTTACAACCCAAGTGGCACTCAGTGGTTATGCCAAATAGTAGGCTTTTTAAGGAAGGCAAAGAGATTCCCTGGTGACTCAATGGTAAAGAATTTGCCTGCCAAGGCAGGTGACACGGGTTTGATCCCTGGGTTGGAAAGATCCCCTAGAGGAAGGCATGGCAACCCTCTCCAGTATTCTTGCCTGGGAAATCCCAAGGACCGAGGAGAGTGGTGGGCTACAGTCCCTGGAGTTGCAAAAGAGTAGGATACAACTTAGCAACTAAACAACAACAAACAATAAAGCTGCACTTCCTTTCTCTTAGTCAAAAATGATCATGCCTCCCTATTCTTCCACTTCCATGTCAGTAACAAAGGTTATTGAATGCAGAGTTGGAAGTCTACTATCTATGGGAGATCTACTTACTGAAACTATCCAAAATTTACTCTACTCAGTGACTACACACCCATCCATGCTTCACTGTCCTTAACTTGGATGAATACAGCCTTCACACACAAAGCATCCTTTAAATCAGTGAACTCAATATCTCCGGGAGCCTTGGGATTTATTTAAACCAAGTTTAAGAACACTAATAGCAGAAGAGAAGAACTAGGAACTGTGAGGCAAGATTCCAGATGGCATTCCCTGGCTTCTACCAGAGCACTTTTGATCTGATTGTCTTATAAATTGAGTTGGAGATCTCATCTGGAAAAGCTGAAGCTATAGAAAGTTGGTAAATCTCAGCTCTAGAGCAACTAATAAGCTGTGGATACTACTTGGCTCTAAACAAGGTACTGAAACTACCCATTTAAATGATTGAATTTATGATATTTTTATAATATATCAGCGGCATAGTAGAACAGTAAGGGATAAAAGAGGAATAATCCTGAAAACAGTAGGAAAAAAGACAACTTGCATAACTGTATCTCAGTTCCTACTGATTTCCATCTCTGAAAAAGACAGACCAAAAACACAAGCATGTAAATAAAAATAATACCAATTAAAATGAGCTGGTGTAGGAAGAAGGATAGAGAAAAGGAAACAACCCAACAAGAGATGGGAGAGTAAGACAAGCATTGGGAGAAAACTAGCCTTTCTTTCAGGACTGTAGAAGATAGAAATGCTGCCATAGTCAATTGAGAAGAGAATTAGAAGCAGACATATTTGTGCATGTCAGGATGCCCTTGGAAATTTGAAATGATGAAAGAAGATTAAAAAAACATAGAGCTATGCGTGAAGACTACTTCATGACTTTCAGATCCAGAGAGGAAATCAGGTAAGAATAAGGCTCCATCTCCAATTACAGACTCACCTGTGAGGAGAATAAGCTTTGCCATGGTTGTTGTCACTATTGGTCTTGCAGAGCCTGGATTTGCCTTTTATACCATCTGACTACCAGGTCATAACAAAGGATATCTTCCAAGCGGAGAGCATCTAATCCAGATGTGTATATAGCTAATCAGTAAGTCAACAGATCTCCTCCCCTACAAACAACCACTCATGGACCTCCAACCTGCACTCCCCCACCACCCCCTCTGCTTAATAAAGACAAAACATCATGTCTCCTAACGGGGTGGTAAAGACCATCACCATGAAAAGTACAAGCCTGATAGGTTTTTTGGCAGTTCTCAGGGCTGATAAGCATCCATTTAAACATTATGATTAAGTTTTTATGCTGTGGATATTTCGTGCCTGGCATCAAAGCATGTATTTATTGGAAAGTAAACACTAAAAATCCTTGGAAGGTATTAGCTGTTCTTAAATATTTTTTCTTTGTAGAACTAGTCTTATATAATTTGTACAATCAGGGTCTAAGGAACTTTCATCTTATTAGTTGCTACTTTACGAACATTCTACGCACACCTGTTCTTTGAAATGATCTTAGTCATGTGTACTCAGCCACTCAGTCATGTTCGACACTTTGTGACCCCATGGGCTGTAGTCCACCAGGCTTTTTGTCCATGGGATTTTCCAGGCAAGAATACTGGAGTGGGTTTCCAGAAGGAAGTAGGTCCTTCTCCAGGGGGTCTTCCCTACCCAGGTTTGGAACCCCTGTCTCCTGTATTGGCAGGCAGATTCTTTACCTCTAAGCCACCCGATGTGAGCAACCTTAGTCATGATCATACAGTAATTTTATCTAAGAACATATGGTTCCCAAAATGTACCCTCTGGAGTTCAGTGAAAACTCCCTAATCCACAGGTCCAAATTACATCTAGAAAAAGTTCAAAAATATTTTGTGCTGTGGAGAGATGATAGTGATGATATTGAAGAGTTTCTTTTAATAGAAATATTTGCATGGTGACCTTTCATAGAATTTTTTGTTTAAAATTAATTCCAATCCACCCTCCTAAACATTATGCATTACTATTATCCTATAAAAAATTTCTGCTTCAGCCAAAATGGTCTATTCTTTGTCCCCAACATGTTTTGCATGCCTTTGCTCACACTGTCTCTCCATACTTTACATGTAATGTCTTCTCCTCTCTTCACTGCCTACCTCAGTATTACAGTTCTTCAAAGCCCAGGTCGGATCTTCTCTTTGAAGCTCAATCATCTCTCCTTCTTCTGAAATACTTATGTCCTCTAGTGCACAATGCCTTGCTTGCTTCCATGATGCTGTCTTATGACAGTACCTGGAAAGCAGTTGGTGGACATATGAGTGCCCATCATAGGATGCTGGCAACTGAGCAGATTTACTGTAGATATAGACAGATTTTTATCTTTATCACATTTAGAAACTAAATAATTGTATCCATTCACCCAGTGATGATTAGGTCCTGGGTGTTTGGTTCCCACTCATAGGACCAAAGAAAGTTTGGTAGAAGCACTGCCAGGGATTTTGGTTATAAAAATAATGTCAACAAATACTACAAGCACCTATATATGCCAGAGATCATGCTTGATGTTTATATTATTAAGAATTTATTTTTTGCAAGTGAATAAAACCAACTTTGGGCTTCCCAGGTGGCTCAGTGGTAAAGAATCCACCTGACAATGCAGGAGACATAAGAGACGTGGGTTTGATCCTGAAAGGTTGTTGCTGAATGATAAGACGCCGGGATTCTTGGCCTCTGGAGGAGACGAATTCAATCCAGGGCCAGAGACGAGGCTGGATCTCTCAGAGCTTTTGTGTAATAAAGTTTTATTAAGGTATAAAGGAGATAGAGAAAGCTTCTGACATAGGCATCAGAAGGGGGCAGAAAGAATACCACCCCTGCTAGTCTTCAGCTGGATGTTATATAATCACTAGCAGTCTGTTAATGAAAAGACAGGAATGTCTTAAAACTCAGAATGGCACCAGATGATTCATCCCAGGCCATAAAACGATTGACTTGAATCTTGTAGAAGGGCAAATTACCATACAGTTTCATTTATATAGAATAGGGGAACAATATCTGAGCATAACATACTGGTTTGTCAAGTAGGTTCTGAGCCATTTGGCGGAACCAACCTGAAGACAGCGTCTGGGGTAAATGCATAGTACATTAACATAGTTTAAGACAAACATTTCAGTAAGAAAAATGTATTGGTTAACTCAAGGTTTGAGAATAGTTAGCTTCAGGTGAAACCAGGTGTCATTATGGCAACACAGTATTTTAAGAGAAACCTCCTTTTAAATTTGTACAGAAAAGGAAAAAAATATCGCTAATTTGTTTCCTCCTGCCATTTAAGAGAGATAAAAATGTCTGACACTTGCAGCTTATTTCCTCTGTTTGGAGACCCCTGGCCTTCCTGCCTGTTACCCTCTCAACCCCTGGGTCAGGAAGATCCCTTAGAGAAGGAAATGGCAGCCCACTCCAGTGTTCTTGCCTGGGAAATCCCATGGGCAAAGAAACTGGAGGGCTACAGTCCATGGAGTCACAAAGAGTCAGACAAGACTTAGTGACTAAAATAAACAAACAAACAACAACCAAAAACCCAACTCTACCAAGCACAAAACATTATATTAGAAGAATATGAGGAAGCTCACAGAATCAAAGACAAGAACATGGGATGTGCCACTGATAACAGCAAAAATCACATTTCTTAGGTTAGCAAAGTAGGAGGTGGGCCTAGGACCAATAAGCTCCAATTTTATTTTTTATTCATGTGTCAGTCCACACAAGAATCCACGTCCTGGGAGAAATAGTCTGATTGTGTAGCTTTGAGTTTGAGCCACTCTTTTGCTTAAGGAAAGAACAGAACACTTGGATTTAAAGTTCCATCTAGATTGGCCACAAAATGAAATTCTGAAAGAATGGAAAGTGAATACTGCATAACTGAAAAAAAATTAACGTTCGTCAGAGGGCTCCACATCATTATTTTATTTAGCCTATAAAAGGATTATTACTGTCACCTCAACTTTGCAGATGAGAAAATTGATCAAACAAATCTTAAGCACCAGGTCCTGGATTCAATGCCAAGGCTAGGGGTGTGCACAGTGGATAGCTCTTAATATTTACTCTGCATTACTTCCTTATATAAAGTGGTTGGGTTGGTGTCCTAGGTTGAACTGGGAAAGGAGATTCTATGAGGTTCAGTTCAGTTCATTTCAGCCACACAGTTGTATCTGACTCTTTGTGACCCCATGGACTGCAGCACACCAGGATTCCCTGCCCATCACCAACTGCCAGAGCTTACTCAAACTCATGTCCATAGAGTCGGTGATGCCATCCAACCATCTCATCCTCTGTCATTCCCTTCTCCTCCTGCCTTCAATCATTCCCAGCATCAGAGTCTTTTCCAAATAGTCAGCTCTTCGCATCAGGTGGCCAAAGTATTGGAGTTTCAGCTCCAGTATCAGTCCTTTAAAAGAACACCCAGGACTCATTTACTTTAGAAGGGACTGGTTGGATCTCCTTGCAGTCCAAGGGATTCTCAAGAGTCTTCTCAAACACAACAGTTCAAAAGCATCAATTCTTCAAAGCTCAGCTTTCTTTCTAGTCCAACTTTCACATCCATACATGACTACTGGAAAAACAATTGCCTTGACTAGATGGACCTTTGTTGGCAAAGTAATGTCTCTGTTCTGTAATATGCTGTCTAGGTTGGTCATAGCTTTTCTTCCAAGGAGCAATTGTCTTTTAATTTCATGGTCCCAGTCACCATCTGCAGTAATTTTGGAGCCCCCGAAAATAAAGTCTGTCACTGTTTCCACTGTTTCCCCATCTACTTTCCATGAAGTGATGGGACCAAATGCCATGATCTTAGTTTTCTGAATGTTGAGTTTTAAGCCAACTTTTTCGCTCTCCTCTTTCACTTTCATCAAGAGGCTTTTTAGTTCTTCTCCACTTTCTGCCATATGGATGGCGTCATCTGAAAAATCTGAGGTTATTGATATTTCTCCTGGCAAACTTTATTCTAGCTTGTGCTTCATCCAGCCTGGCATTTCACATGATGCACACTGCAAATAAGTTAAATAAGCAGGGTGACAATATACAGCCTTGATGTACTCCTTTCCTGATTTGGAACCAGTCTGTGGTTTCATGTCTGATTCTAACTGTTGCTTCTTGACCTGCATACAGATTTCTCATGAGGCAGGTCAGGTGGTCTGGTATCCCCACCTCTCGAAGAATTTTCCACAGTTTGTTGTGATCCACACAGTCAAAGGCTTTGGCATAGTCAATAAAGCAGAAGAAGATATTTTTCTGGAACTTCCCTGTTTTTTCAATGATCCAACAGATGTTGGCAATTTGATCTCTGGTTCCTCTGCCTTTTCTAAATCCAACTTGAACATATGAAAGTTCTTGGTTCATGTACTGTTGAAGCCTCGCTTGGAGAATTTTGAGCATTACTTTGCTAGCATGTGAGATGATCGCAATTGTGCAGTAGTTTGGGCATTCTTTGGCGTTGCCTTTCTTTGGAATTGGAATGAAAACTGACCTTTTCCAGTCCTGTGGCCACTGCTGAGTTTTCCAAATTTGCTGACATATTGAGTGCAACACTTTCACAGAATCATCTTTTAGGATTTGAAATAGCTCAACTGAAATTCCATCACCTCCACTAGCTTTGTTCATAGTGATGCTTCGTAAGGCCCACTTGACTTCACATTCCAGGATGTCTGCCTCTAGGTGAGTAATCACATCATTGTGGTTATCTGGGTCATGAAAGTATTTTTTGTGTAATTCTTCTGTGTATTCTTGTACCTCTTCTTAATATCCTATGCTTCTCTTAGGTCCATGCCATTTCTGTCCTTTATTGTGCCCATCTTTGCATGAAATGTTCCTTTGGTATCTCTAATTTTCTTGAAGAGATTTCTAGTCTTTCCCATTCTATTGTTTCCTCTCTTTCTTTGCACTGATAACTTAGAAAGTCTTTCTTATCTTTCCTTGCTATTCTTTGGAACTCTGAATTCAAATGGGTATATCTTTCCTTTGCTCCTGTTCCTTTTACTTC